ACACACACACACACACACACACACACACAGTTGACCAGTCTTCTCACCGTGTCCGGTTCCGGAGGAAGATCAGTTTAATCAGCGGGTGTGTGAAATTCACCAGCCCGTTCTTGGATATGCTGGTGACCCGGAGTCTGTGGTCCAAGATGTGCAGGTCCATGTTGTCGGTGGGTGCAGTCTCCTCGGTGTGTGTGCGCGCGCGCGTGTGTGTCTGTGTGTGTGTGTGTGTGAGAAAACGCCTCCTATCTGTGTCGTATCATCCAGATGTTGAGCTCAGGCCAGATGCTGACGGATTAAACCTCCAGGAGCTCGAGTCAGAGACGAAAAACAGACTCAGGCTCCTCCAACTACTGTATATTCAAATGGAGGACACGCCCCCTCGTCTTAAAGCTGCAGGAGCCCGTCACGTGTTTCAAAATAAAAGCATGTTATAATAATGTGTGTGTGAGACAGAGGGTTTAATTAAAGCAGCGTGTTGACAAAAATCTATTTATTTCTGTTTTTGTGAGAGAATTTTTTTTTTTAAATTAGATCATTTTCTTTTTTTTTCCCCCCCAGAAATAAAATTCAGTTTTTTTCCTGGAAGAGGTAATTTTCTATCTGTTCTCAGAAGAAACACGAATCTGAACTGTTTTTCTCTGCATCACCAATTATTTCTTCTGTTTTCACAAGAAAAAATAAAACTGCAATTTTAATGAATTCATGAGATTTTTTTCTTTTCTGATTTCATTCAGAAGTTTTTTCAGATTTTTGACAAGGTAAATTAGTTAATTGTCTTTTTTCCACGAGAAAAACACTATTCTATTCTTTTTTTTCACAAGTTTCACTGAATTGATGATTTTCTGTGTCTGCTCTCTTTTCTCTCTATTTCTGAAAGATGCAGGCTTTTTGTTTCTCAAGCGAATGCAATATGCTTCCATGCATCTCCCTCCTGTTCACCTGCAAATTGATGTGTTTTTACATCAGTTCCAGAAACAGCTTCAAAATGAAGGTGTAGTTTTCAGGTGCCCACGTAACTTTGAACATTATGTCTGACTGAACAGGAAAAACAAACCAGTTGGAATAACAAATGTGTGTACATCGCCATTCCCTCATCTTCCTTCCTCTTACTTTTCCTTAACAGCTGTGTCGTCTCTTCACTATTAATTGAAAACATTTTTAGTGCTTTGGTCATTCTCTTAACATGATTTAATGATTTAGTCAGAAGGACGTCGGACTCTAACTCTTGAAAATGTTTAAAAATGTTTGAAAAGTTGTAAGTATCACACTTATACACAAAAACTTGACTGACTACAACTCCCAAGATGCAGTTTCCCTTTTCAAACATTGAAGTGTGATTCATTTTACAACACAGTTTTATGTATTTGACAACTTTTATTTTGAAGGGTGGTCATTTCAGACTACAAAGTAAACACGTGCCCCTCATTGGCTCCTCACACATCTTGGTTTATTGGAATCATTACAGTGATCAGATATTTGATTGATTGAGGTAGTCCACAAGCTTTATTTGATTAAATATTTGATTCACAGTGGTGAAGCTCAGTGTGATTCTTTGGCTACAGACATAAAAAAACTGCCATTATTTTGTCACAGTGAAAAACATATAGACTCTCTTCAGTCATGATTAAAACAAAAAGCAGCATCTCATAATGTAAATTACTCTAATCAGCCCAATGTAATTTGGTATTTTACCTACTCAGTTCGTCAACGTACTCGACCTAATCCTCGGGAAAATTACGTAGTTCAAGATTTTCAGAAATAAATTCACATCAGTGTTTGTTTACATCCATGGTAGTAACAGAGATCACCCAGCAGTTAAAAAGAAGCACAATCAGTAAGATCAAGATTCATTCCACGTTGCTCTGGCAGTCAGTGAATGAGCTGTGGTCGTTCGGTTGTTTGTCTCCATCTCACTGTAATGGTGAACTCTTGGTGGGAATCATTATTCTAGACTCCATGCTTCTAATCAAAGGCACTGAGGACGGACAGACAGAGACAGACATGTTAGAGCTGACGTTAAAAACAACACAGACATTCTGGACGTTTCTATTTTTTTTAAAGAAATAAATGACCTTATCCTGTTACGTGTGATTTGTTAAGTCCTCTCTCAAAGTTACCACCAAGGAGGTTATGTTTTCGTTGCCCTTCACTTGTCTGTCCTTGTATTAATTCATGTGTTTCCTGAACGTGTCTCCTGTGACCACATTTCTTTGCTCTGCATGCTAATAAACACTTGTGACGCTTCTGTTCACAAACACCACGATTTATATTCTAAATATGTCAGATATATTAAATAGTTTCATGGAAGTTGTAGCACTTCTGAACTATACATTTAAAGATGATACACAAAAGTTATTCAATGAGAAACATGGAAGCTTTGACTCAGATTTGTATGTGACTGAAGTGCTTCTCTCCCACCTGTGTAATACACATTTGCATCCCATCCCTCCTTCAGCCACGCAGAGTTTCTCGTCTCCTCCCGGGATTGAAGGCTTTCATAAGCTGTCGTCAAAAAAAAAGTTATTAAACCACAACACCCATCACATGTTTATCAGTTTAATCTAATACATTTAATGGATCTCATTGAGTAAAGCCAAAGAAGCTGTAATTCTTAATAATGTTTCTCATTTACCATGAAACCTGTGTTATAGGCACAATCTTCATTTAAACGGTTAAGTTTCTGAACATTATCTTCACACACTTCAGTTGTACATGACCTTGTGATATAAATAAATAAATATATATATATATATATATCACTTATTTTATCAACCTGTCTTGTGTCATTTCTTCCTTGGAAAACACTTTTTGAGAAAAGTATTTAGTTTCTTCTTAATATTACAAATACAACAAAATGTACTGTTCTCAAATGTTTAGGATGGTATTACTCGTATTGCACTTTTGCAATTTTCTACGGCTGCATTTCGCTTAACAACAATGAGTGACCGTCTGTAAACCTGTTTTAAAAACCAATGTGTTCACAGTGGGTGTGTGTGTGCTCACCCCACAAGTGATGAACAACATACAGGTCACCGATCTGTGAGAAGAACCCGCCCACCGCCTCACTGTTCTCCTGTCGGTATTTAATGGCCCTGGCCCTGTAGCGATGATAATTACCTCAGATAATTAAGGCTTCATTGGGAAAAGAGTTAAAACAGTTGATATGATTCATAGTTAAAGTTTTAAATTAAGCTTGTTGGGTCTTACCAGTGGTTGCCCCATTCGATCATGGTTCCGGGCTGAAACACATGTGATGAGTTGAAACATTAACATAGTCGAAGAAATCTTGTATAAATATTACAATGGAAAACATATAAAAATTGTTTTATGGTACTTCACACAATATCTAACCTCTTGGCATTAATATACACTGCAGTGTGTTAATAATGAAGTAGAGGAATTCAGCTGCGACATGAAATTCCACCACTAGATGCCACTAAATTCTACACAGTGAACCATATTAAACTGAAAAGGTACAATCTGCCGAAGTGGCGGGCGTCCATGTGGAGCGTTACCTCAGTAGGTTCCAGACATTCAAGCTGTTTTAAAAGCAACATCAATAATACAGGTTCATATAGTTCACACTCTCAGATGGTGTAGAGGCTTTTCTTTCAAATGGAAAATTGAGGGGGGTTAAAGGGTTTTTATATGTGAAGTACATGTAGGTCATGTGGATACCTTGAGTTGATATGTGCGCATTTCATAGACGTTTGGTCCTTTTCTGGGCAGAGGTTCGTTCCAAAAGCTGAACTCCAGGAGAAGCTGGTTTCGCCTTGAAATCAACATTTTCGCTCTCTCTTTCCGAAATTCTAAATACTCCTGAAGAGAGACAATGAAATAAATATTTACTGTGCAGTACTTTTCTACAGTCGACCACAGTTATGTCAAGATAAAACTGAAATCAGTTCAACTTTGAATATGAGCTCTACTTCTTTTGTAGCTAACCTTGTTATTGTTCAACTTCTCCAGACATTCGGTCAAGGCTGGGTAACCTCCCTTGTATCTCCATAGATGCACTGCAGCAAAACAACAGCAGATGTCACTGTAGGACTGTGCGGGGACTGATGCCACCCACGCAGCCAAGAGAAGCAGGACCTCCGTCCCCCTGTGTGATCACTTTGTTACTGAACACACTTCAGAGAATATAACACGCTGTAAACTTTCACATGTAGCAGGAGAGGTGTTGGAAGAGAGTTATATGGTTGTGTGTTTTCTGACAAACTGCAGCCACTCAAAACACGTGTGTGAGGCCTTAAACCAAACTATACAGTAGGAAATAAGAAACTGACTGTGATAAATAAGAGGACGTGTTTCATAAACTCTCCGTCATGTTTCCTGTCACACTGCTGCTCACCAGCTTGATCCTGTTCTCCGTACCAGGTATTCCAGCTCCCGACCACCTCACATGGGTAGTCCTGGTCCTGATGGAGCCTGTTTTGCACCTCAGCCCTAGAGTCAGCATAAAATATAAAGAGATAAAAACTCTTCCCTTACACAAACAAACACAGATTCCCTGAATGTGGGTAATGATAAACTATCATTTCACCGTCATGACCAACAAGAGGGCACTACGATTATCCAACCCTCTATTACACCCAAAGACATTATTCCAATTTCATTTATTTTATGCTAAATTAATCTTATGATTCTGCAAGAATCCCATTACGATGGAATAAAGACTATCTTGTTAACTGGGGAAACCCTAAACTTGGGTCTTCAGTGAAATAGAATTAGCTGGTACTTGGTTCCAAAAATATATACAAATATAACACCTGATTATAGAAATACTGGCTAAATATTAGATCCTTTCAATTGAATGATTTGATTAGTTTGATCGGTGGTGGTAATGGAGAGAATCTTTGAAAAGAAGTGAACACACTTACTCTAGACTGTTGTACGCTTCCAGGCACTCTGGCTTGATATTGTGAACTAAAAAAGAGAAAGAAAGAAAGACTAAGACTTTTTTTTTTTTTTTAAATACAAGCAACTATCAAATTCTTCAACAAAGTAATTTCACACTCCAATTCAGCAAAGACTTCCATATACAAAAGAGATTCACTTTCAATAGGTTATAGGCTACGGCTGATAGAGAGTTCAAATTGAAATCCCCACATGGTTTGACGAACGCCAAGAGAAACATCAAAGCTCAGGTGATAGATTTCTTCAGGAGACATAGACACAGTTATCACCGAAGACTGAAAGAAAACCAGACAAACATGTTTTGATGTCAATTACATATCTTTACAGATTTGATTCCTCAAGCTTCTTAAACTTGTTGCTGCCTATATGCGATGCATGTATCACAAATAAGCTATTACATATAATAGATGGTTGAGAACAATCCATTTCGTAACAACAGAGCTGCTCTCAGACACTGAACTCTGGCTATTCTGCTGAAATTATCCGAAGGGGATGTGTGTGAGAACGCTGACGTCAAAGTCAGTTGCTCCTGACGTTCTCCGACAGAATGTCAGAGTTTATCCTGCCGAGCCCTTCATAAAAACTCTGGAGAACGTCCGAGTGAGCCCGTGTGAGAGCAGCGGGATATTGTCCGGAGAATTCCCACCAAGCTATTGTGCGCATTGATGATGTTTTTAAATAAATAAAAGAATACAGCTTTTGTTGAGAAACGCCAAACTGGTGAACAAGAACTTGTGATTTCTGCAGAGGAATTTATACATTATGTTCTGAATTCACTGGTGCAGACCTTATTCTTAAAAAGAAAATAAACCCTCACATGTAACTATGTTTAAAAGTCTTGTGCCTACATTGAATTTTGTACAGGTTGCTGGTCTCCCTCTTTGACAGCAGGTTGGAGTGGGCATCTTTCCTGGCATCGACTTTGTGCACAAATAAGGAACGAAACCAGCCTTTGTCACCGTTCTCTGAAAACCTCCTACACAGGAACGAGAAGAAAGAAAGTTTCACAAAGGCTCAAAGCAGCAACGCAGAACAGCAGAGAAGTTGTCGACGGGAAAAAAGAAAAACTTAAAAAGGAACATGAAGACATGACATATGGACTAAAAGATAGTCATGCAAATATGATTTGATATTAAAAAAAAAACCTGCATACTGTATGAGTGAGTGGGCTGAGTATGGTAGCTTGAGTCTTTGGCATACAATTTCTTTTCACTCACTCCGGAGGGAATAAAAAGGGGATATCATCCACTTTATCAGCTACTGCTGCAATCTAACAGGCTCCACTCAGTAAATGAACATGACTGTCGCTCTCTCAAAGTCACAGAGCAGAAAAATAAGATACAAATCAGTGAGTGCGTTCAGGCTGTACTCACAGAGCTCTGCCAGAAAAACAACCTGAAGAAGACGACAGTGGCATCAAAGCAAAAATACTCAAAAAGTTGCACAGTTTTTAATTTTGTGGGTAGAAATTTTGTTTGTTTCCAGACTCAGCTGGAAATCCAATCCAAGGACGTTTCGTTGACTTTTAAACTGATCACCACTGATCTAAATTAAAGAGAACCGTTGGAATGTGCCCACTTATGGATTAGGGAGCTGTATATTAACATATGTTCACCCTCTTGTAGGACTTTCAAGGCCGTCTGTTAATTCACAAATGCTTCCTAAGCTTTTATTTTATCATCCAGATATACACAAACTTTCAAGGTCAGTGGGACGTCTTTTTCTTTTAATAACCTCATGGGCCAATGGCTTTAATTGGGAACTATAATTAGAAATGAATTTCCCATGGCACCCTCACCTAAAAACAACAACAACGTCAAAAAAAAACAACCTTAATGCAATCAGCCACAGAGGAAATACACACAATGCGGGGCACTGATAAGTCGACATGGTGAAGCTGTACTTTATGTTGGTTTAGTGTAGCTTTAGAGAACAAAGTTCAGAGGTCCTGTAAATGATTTGAGCTGGTTTGGAAAAATGCCTGTTTGGACAAACACACACATTTAAAGTCACTGTACACGTTTCGAATTTCTGAAACTTTTTCGGTTTTGTGAAAATACTAGAATGGTACAATTCACAACCAGTAAACCTTGACTGATCAGAATTTAACTGACTCATCACAAAGAGGCTCAAGATTCTGTCAAACACAGTTTGTGTGGTTTGGGGGAAATAAATAAAATGGACAATTCATAGTTTTTAAATCATACTTAGACCACAGAGCAGGTCTCAATCAAAGACATCCAGACTTGTCAAACTGGACTAATTTACTAATTTCATCAGACCAGGTTCTGATCACAAACCACTTTATCCAAAATTGTCAAATCTGGACTAAATTAATCAGTAAAGCTAAAAAATATGAGATTATTACATTTCTGTCGAATGAGCTAACTTCAGAATCGTGGCTAGAGAAGAAAGTGGTCAAAGTTTGGTTAGAAGTAAAGTTAGCTAGCAAACAGAACAGTCTGTTTCACTGTGTGTGTGTTTACCTGCAGCAGCTAACTGAAGCTAGCTCATTGATAATTAATGACGTGAATTGAATGTACCACTCACTCGAGGGAGCGTCTGTGTTGTGCATCACTTCCGGGTTCGAACAAAACCACGTTAGCCCACACTAGCTCACCTGCTCGCCTGCTTCGCTGAACACCTGAACAACATCTGTCCCCTGAGGCGCACCGAGGAGGAAGCTGCCGCCATGTTCCACGGTCCGGACACACTGTGACACGTCCACGCCCGCCCGGTGCTCTGGTTAATGTTTACCTCCGGTCACCGGCGGCCTGACGAGTTTAATCCGGTTCAATCGCGCTGACAAGCGGATTCGACCCGCGTCCACCCGCCGGAGGTTTAAAAACACACGTGACACAGTGACGCAGGGCGTTCGATCGATCAGACCCGAATAGTCGAGCGTGTCTGATCCAAGATAATAATAATAATAATAATAATAATAATGATAATAATAACATTAATAATAATAAAAATAATAAAAATAACAATGATAATAATAATATTGTTGTTGTTGTTGTTACTATGGTGTTTTGATATATTATTATTCCACATAAGATAATGTATTTATAATACTGCCTTCTTCTCAGACTGTTTTTTATTTTATTTAAATTGTATTTATATTTATGATACAGCCATCACATGATGTGGTGTGTATATACTCTGAACTCCCTGTATTTAACAAAGAGTTAAGTCACAAACGTTGTAGATCCAGAAGTGAGTACTTAAATAACCCATTTCAAATAGTTAAACTAAATTACTGACTTTATCCATTCAAATAATACATTATTAATGTAATAATCTTTTTTATTTATAACTGTTTCATTGATTTTTTTGTAGATTATGTTACAGCCATTTTATGTGGTTTGAATTCATATCTCTTAAATAAATACCAAATGTAGACATATAGCTAAAATACCTGTATACAACATTTTACTGAGAGTTAAGTCGCAAAGGTAAAGAAGTATAATCAGAATGTAGTACTCAAACAGTAAAACTAAACTTCTGAATTTATTAACTGAATTATTACGATAATATTTTAGTTTGATTTTGCAGGAGGTCAGAGGTTTATTTGTTTTAAGCTATTTCTCTGCAAAGGGATCTCGACACAAAATTAAAAATAGTTGTCTGGCAAATTTCAATCTCTGTATTTAAAGACACTGCACCGGCCAAATCAAGTAAATTTGTGATATCACCAGGTGTTTTTGTGTTTTTATAAATAATATGAAATATAATGGTGTGTTTGTAGGAGGAATACATCACTGCTTATTTTATCTAACAGTGTTTTGACTCGTCTTTCTGCTGCAAACAGGTCTCTTATCTAATAGCGGCACTTTCTTTCAAAGCTGGTTCCTCTATTAGACGAGTCACGCAGTACTTAAATCCTTTTTGTGCAACCCACTTTCAGTTCTTTTCAAACACAATGCAGTGCTCTCTGATCCTCTCCATCATTCTACCCACTGACATTATATAACATCGAATCCGATCATACCTAAAAGGATTCAAACTCAATACCTGTATTATATGCCCCTGTTCAATGACTCTCACAACAACACCATATTTCAAGTAGCAGCAAAAAAGGTGTGTATGCATTGATTATTTTAGGAAATAAACAAACCTCTGAATCAACTTTGTTTTCATTTGATTGAGTATTTAAGAAGTTTAATTTATTCTAAATACATTTTAAAAAATGTACTATGACTTCCTTGCATTCACCCATCCTTCGGTTCACGTGTTGAGGAAAACGTTCACGGGGCTTTGACAAGACTTCTTCCATCTTCGCTGGCATGAGAAGTGCCGCAATTACCACTTCTCAAGCTTTTGCTTTTCCGAATGTGCCAATTCTGCCCCCGTGGTTTATTGTAAGTGCAGGGAGTATTTCTTTCACTTTTGCATGCAACTCTTCAAAATCCTGGTTCACCATGATGCTCTAGAAAGAAAAGAAAGTAAGTTTGTCTCCTGCAAAAGAGAGAAGATTTTTGTATAAAGGTGAACGATGGTGTATGTGACTTACGGCAAAGTCTAAAGCTTCCATGGCTGAATCTCTGTTTTCCAGCAGAGACTTGAGGATCCCATAGCACCCAGCATTCTGGATGGGGTTCCTACCCATCTGGCCAAAGATAAACATGAGAAATATGAGAAAATGGAGTAATGCCAAACACAGAGAAGGTCTTTACCATGTCTCTGGTTATAAATACAGGAAATAAAATATGTTGTTAATGTTGTTTGTTTGAAAAGTGGATCCCCATTCCTTCTACCAACTTAAAATAACATTTTATTTGACATAAACATTTTAAAGGAATAGTTCAGCTTTGAGAAGATCAGAACAACTCTCATATCTGTGTTAGACTGTAAATAAAGATAGAGGGTCATTAGGAACCAGAATTTAAGAAGAAGTTATCAAGGTCCTGCCCATACACACACTCGACCAATCAGGAGTCAGTCTCAGCCATCAATCATCACGTTCACCAACTTTTTATAGCATCAAACAACTAAGTAAAACCAAACTTGCTAGAAAAATGACCACTGTATGTCTCATTTATTCGTGTACTTTGACTTTTTAGTATGGACCATGTCCCATCTGCTAACGTGGAGGAGCTGTACTACAGCCAGCCACCAGAGGGCGATCCAGGTGATTTGGATACATTTTTGATATGCTGTCGTGCTGGTCATCTTCATATACAGTCTAAGACCAATGCAATATTTATGGAGTTGGTGCCAGTGGGTTGATTAGCCCTACTTAGCTTAGCATAAAGCCTGAAAACATCTGGCCTGTCTCTGTGCACCCAAAAAAAAATCTACGAAAAAGCACCTGTGAAACTTCTTAACTAATTAACACGTTATTTCAGTTATATCTAAACAGTTGGAAAAGTTTGTGACAATTGATTAGACTTCAGATGCTCAGATTGTCCTGCTCGTAATATTTAGGCTGTAACTCAGCTTAGTGTCGTCTTTTCTCTCTCTCACTCTTTTTTTTTCAGTCGGTTGAGACGAGCCCCCGAGAAGCTCGGTTGCCGACATTAAAACAAAGTACAGTTATCCATTTATTCATCCCATTTCATCCACTCATGCCACCCTTTGCTTCCCAAGCTCGAAACAATCTCTTTTCAACAGCTTACATTCAGGGATTTGATTGTCTTGTTTACTTTGAGGCCGGCGGCGAGGCGGACGGCTCCTTCAGGGGGGATTCTGTTGTTACTGTGGCGACGAACAAATACAGGACAGAAAACAAAAGGGAAAAAAGGTGTGTTGGAGAGTGAGGGACACAATCATGATGTGCTATGTTTTTAAATTGTATTGTTCATCCACGAGGCTTTGAGAGAATCAGTGTTTTTAGATTTATTGACAACACCAGGAGTCATATCAAGAATATTTGTGGAGGAGGTTATGTTTTCACCCCCGTCCATTTGTTGGTTTGGTGTAAATGTTTGTATGTTTATCAGTAGAGTTGCTTTCAGACATTAACCGAGAGCCTCAGGACTGGACAGGAGTGAGTGGGGGTGTTGATGACGTTTCTAACATGCGACAGATGCAAAAATAAAATAAAAAACAAAGAGAGAGCAAATGTCTCTGCATGAGGAGTCGAAGAAGACGACGACGAAGATGTCAAAGCTATTGGTGAAAAAGAAGCAGCAGAATAAATACATCACGTCCTGCTTCTGCCTGGTGCACCACCCCTCATCTCCACTCACCACTGCAGAGATTGAGCAGAGAATCTCCTGCTGTTCATGTGTGAGAGGCAAACTCTGCAGCGAGTCTGGACCCACTTATTCAAACATTCTACTGAGGTCATGTCTGAAAACATCAAAACTACTGAATGGATTTACATTAAACTTGTTTGAAGAGTGAGACGTGGGCCAGGAAAGAGCCCGTTACATTTTGGGGTGAATCTGGTTAAATCCAGGAATCTTATATCACATAATGCGAGATGTGGTGTATTATGATTTCTTTACTGATTTCCACATCATAATGGGAACTATGAGTGTGTGCGATGTCATGTGGATCCAAATAAAATCCAGATCAGGCAGATTTAAATGTGGTTTCATAGAGGGTAGGATTTTTTCAGCGGCTGTACGGGAAGAAATCGTGCAACCAACATGTAACTACCACAGAATTATAAGTGAGATAATGTGAATTCAGAAGGGAATCAACTGTATCTTCAAAAGTTTTATGTCCAAGGGGACTGAAGAAGGAACGTGCTGTTCTGAGTGCTGTTCTAGGCGGTAATATTTTTACTTTAATACCAAAAAAGATTATCACATACCAAGATTAAAAATCGGCTCATACCTCACATTCAACTCCTCCAAAACGTTGTTCTCCTTCAGAGCCTGCCCCAAAGCAACAGCTCCTTCTTTACCGAAGCCATTAAACGACAGATCCACTGCTCTAAGTGAAATGTTCCCCTTAGAAAAGAGAAGATGGGAGATGTTTGTCCTTTTCCAAAAGCAGTAACAAGAATAACTTGAACACGTTCTCCAACAGGATTAACCGAAGACCACCTTCATTTAAAATGAGTGAGCAGTGTAAATCCTGAGGTAATGAGGCTCTCAGGAGCTGAATCAATCAAAGCTGTCAGTGCAGCTCAGTGATTAGTGTCCCTCTGACCATCCTGGTCATTAAGAAGTGGAAAAAAAGGAAAAAGAAGGAGGATGCTGCACTTTTCAGCCTTTTCTGCTGTGAGAGACTCGATAAATAAAAAACCAGAGGACTTTTTCACAAAGTAGGGCGAGCAAGTTAAAGCCAGGTTATTATATAACGTCCTCTATTAGTGACTCTCAGGCTGCAGTATACTGAATCATATCATTAACGCTAATAAACAAAACAGCATTTACAGAATGTGTCATGATCCTGTTTCTACAGGCTGCACAGTTTGTCCTAAAATTCACTGTCAGTTCACTTTTCCATTGAAAACACCCCATGATATATATAGACTACAGTTTACTGCCAGAAGTATGTGGACTATCTATCTTCTTTTATATACTTATATATATTTATAGGTATCATGGGAGCTAATAGTTCCAATTTTACATTAATCTTTACACTACACCGTGACATAAGTAGATTTTATGGAAGCTGTTTGGAGGAAGTTCTGTTCCTGTTTCAACGTGATGCTTGACCCTTCATCATCATCGTCTTCATCTTCAGCTCTATAATGCAACGATGAGATGAATCTGATAATAGCTTACAGAAACTGTTTGTTTCTAAACCATCTTCTGATCCAAGACAGAAACAAAAAGAGTCCCGCTCTGATCCCTCACTGAATCACCTGTAGATTTTCTTTTTGTCCTGCACAAATTCAAAAACCAATATAGTGTTCAGACACTGATTTCAAGGTGGATTACCCCGAGACCCTCGGCCAACATCACAGCTCCTCTCCCTCGGATGCCGTTCCAGGCCAGACTGACTGATCTCAACCCCATGTTTTCTGACAGAGCGTCTCCGAGGATTTGTCCTATAGGGAACAAATGAAGAAAGCTTACCGATAATATGAGACAAAATAAAAAGCATAATTTTAACAATTTATAAGAACTAGACTGTCTAATTTGCTCAAAATAGAAATTATTTAAAACTGTATATATATCATTGGTAATTAATAAGGAAGTTATGTTTTCACCCCGGGCTGTTTGTTGGTTTGTTGATTTGATTGGGAAACAAGATTATGCCGCAGCTACAGAAGAGATTTAGGGAATTATTCACACAATTATATTTTTTTTTATCATTTTTAGCTAGATGGGGTGTTTCTGATATTTTCACCAATTTCCCAGGGAATAATTCCTGGATCTTTATGAAAATGAAATCTGCTGGCTGAGGTAGCTCCACTGCAAGTATTATCATATATTTTAGATATTTTAAATATTTCATTGGTAGGACAGCGTCATCTGAAGCACTTTTTAAGATCAATGACTCAAACACCCACGTGTGTCCTCTTGTGTGTTTCATGGTAAGTGAGGACGGCAGAGTCAGAGATCCCAAAGAGAAAGATTCCTGTCATCATCTCGCCCACTTTATCACAGGGATAAGAAAGCGCACAGCCCTCTGTGGTGTGTAATCATAGAAAAAGACCCTCACACTCTGCTTGGCTGAAAAAGCAATAACATCATACCCTGAGTGTCAAAGTGTGTGAGAGCTACTTCCTCTCGCGGACCTCCTATATGCTCAAATCGCACGAGGATGTCCTTTGATATTTCAGCAGGGGAGAAATCGGAATTGAACATGTGGGGATGAATCACAGCCGCACACGCACGGCAATTAGACGTGGTGGAGGAGATTTATTTTCAATTACCCACATCAGATGCTCAGTGCATCCTGCCCGGCCGTTCTTCCACAAGGTGCCTGTCGCAAAGCTCATCCACATGATAATTGAAAGAGGTTTTAATGAAGGCGAAATGTTCTTGACCTTTGAATGCCACAGTCAGCCGCCTGCTGTCCTGCGACTGCTTACAGATAAGGCTGCGTAATTACAGCAAACTCTCACTGGTTTGATGAGAATGGTCCCCCCCCCCCCACCTCACCTCATCATGGTGAAAGGAAAGTTTCTGAATTACATCAAAATATTTGTGTAGTGATGAGATGTAACAAAGCACATTTACCATAGTGTAAAGTACATTATTCATGTATCTCTACTTCAAGTATTTTTACTTTTACTCAAATATCTGTATTTTCTACTGCTCAGCATTTTGTTATATGTTCAGCAGCAGCATCACCGATGAACAACAAACACCTGAAATGGATAAAGAGACCGAGACTGAGCCGGTAATTAATGTGACAGTGCAAATGTTTCAGAAGCATCTTCTGCAGCATTATTTATTAATATGACATTACTTATCAGTATATACCTGCTTGTACTCAAGTAGAACAGTTGATGTGAAACTTTACTTCCGTCTTTTTATTTATTTTTGTCTCTTTATTATTGCACTTTCACTGAAGTAAAATGTTTTAGTTCTTCCTCCGCCACGGATTCAAAGAAGTTTGAGTTTGATGGAAATAATTGGGCGAGCTCTGCCCAAAGAAAACTGAACTCACTGACACCTCATTACTCAGACTTCTGCTATTGTCCTCTGCAATTAACCGCTTTTACTCACAATGTCTCCGTCCTGAAATTGTCTGGTGCTGCCGATAGGAAATATGTATCTACAGTGTAAATCTTTAATATGAACATAATAAAAAAATCCGACATGGGTACAGATTCAGTCTTGGAAAGGCCGAGGCTTCACAGAAAACATGAGACCTTTACTATGTGTAGCTAACTGCTGCCGTACCTGCCTGCTCCCTCAGAGCGTTGTAGCTCATGTCGAGGTGCTGCAGCTTGGTGTTGGTGACGAGAGCCGGGCCGAGGAATTCAGCAGAGCGGTCTGTGAAAAGGTTTCCTGACAGGTTGAGCCTCACCAGGGTGCCGTTCTCCTTTAGCATTGCAGCTATGGCTCTGGCCCCTTTATCCCCAAGATTGTTGTTGGATAGGTCCACCTCTGGGATTGACACAACAGATACACAGGTCAAAGGTCGAGCATGGAAAAGGGCCAACAATAAGAATCACAAGTTAATAAAGTGGCTCGCTAGAATTGATTTTGAACTATATTCAACCCATAAATGTAGATTTTCTTCATAAATTTGTAATAAATTTGATTTTAAAACCAGCATTTATGTATTTCATTAAAGAACAGTCATTTAGTTTACAGCTCAATAAGAGTGCAGTATCTCTTTTAAACATTCAAACTATGTTTTATTGTAACATGAAGAAGTGTCCTGACTTCTTCTATTACAGTAGCTCAGAGTTTTAGAAACATCCAATAATATTCCCATCGTTCTCTTCAATTTAAAGTTCAGCTTCAACAAAAGGCTTTGAAAATGGTTGGACATAATTCACAGCCATCATCTCCCCTCGTTTTAGGAAACGTCCTCGGGGAAGAAGTAAGGACAACTTCATTTGAAATCTGAAGCAGTTCAAAAGGAGGATGCTTCGCTCATTAACAGCAAACCTTTGCAGGTCACACAGTTCCTGCCATTTCTAGGAAGCACGACTCTGCAGCAAAGTCAACATGTCCATCGTCCTTTGGTCCAGACTGAAATACCTCATCAGCTATTGAATGCATGGCTCTTAGAGAAGGAATTCTAACGACCTTGACCTTTCATTCATGCCACCGGCTGGTTGGTATGTTTGGCTTTGCAGAATGATTCTTTTAACACCACCATTAAATTGATCGATTGGATGAACTGAAGGAACATTTCGACAAAGACACCAAATTTAGTTGCAATGAACATGATGAAATATCATTTTAAACCTTTTTGGAGTGGATCTGGATTAAAGGTCCAGTGTGTACGATTGAGGTGAAAGGGATCTATTGTCAGAAATCAAATATAAAATAATCCTGGTGATGTTTTCACGAGTGTGTTTCATCTTAATTGTTGTTTTCTTTACCCTAGAACGGACCCTTTATATTTAAATACTTTATATTTACAGTTTCCCAAACTGGACAAACTCAACACCTTTTCAGTTTTTATGACAACTGAATGTTTCCTCACTTCACCACTAGATGTCACTGAAATCTACACACTGAACCTTTAAGGGGAAGACCCAGGATTTTTCTTCACTTTATTCAACATGTGGAGTTTGGGCGTTTGGGCGAAACTTGATGTTGGGGAATGGGCCAAAAAAGACCTTGTTAACCTCTGGAGCAGATTCAATTACGGGGGTGGATCCAGGAGTTTTCTTTCATTTTCTTTAACGTGGCGAGAAAAGGCCGTCCTCAGAGATCTTGACAAAAAAAATCAGGCCGTCGCCCCCTGCTCTAGTTAAACAGGATGAGTAAACCCTCACACTGGATTGGACGAATTTGCCTGGGGTGTGGTTCCCATTCTTTTGGTGTCTTGTTGTGTAACAGTCCTCATTTAAACAATAACTGTTTTGGATCCAACCAATAACTTACGTTGCCTCACTTACCCCTGACAAGCTGGAGACAGCACTACATTTCATGACGTATAAATCATTTCACATCTTTTTCTTTTATATTCTATGTGTAGGATTGTGTAACCTTGGCTGAGCTGCACAAAGTTCAATTCCAGTGCTAGTAATGTGTTATACTGTTTATTCACTGGATTGGAATAACCCTGAGAGTTGAACAGTGGTGCAGGACAAAGGATGTTAAAAATACAAGAGCCTGCATGACTCACAGGAGTCATCCTCCGACCCACTTATAGGTTCCTGAATTGCACATATGACTGACATTCAGCAAATAAAAAGAGGGACCCCAGATGTTAAGCCGCGAGCAGTGGCATATAATTGAGGTGAGAGTGGTGTACGTGTGGGAGTAGCGGGCGACACTTTTTCTTCGAGGAAGGTGAGACACAATGAGGGGAAAGGGAAGAGAAGATGTGTGCATGCTTTATTTCCCGGTAAAACCACCTGTAATGTAACAATTTTCCTTTAACATCTCGGCTATAGCAGCTCCGCCCAGTCCTTCCATCCAATTATCTCTCAGGTTCAGTCTCAGTATTGAAGTGTTGGTTACCAGGGGAACCGCCAGTGCTTTGGCGCCCTGCAAACACACAAGCAACCCCCTCGTCAAAGTGAAATTCTTCTGTTTGTTCGCAGCAGTGCACTTTTTCCTTTATCCGTGCCGCATTTAAAAGCTGTGCCGGTGCAGGTGGGCAGAGGGAGAGAAAGACAGAGTATTAAACCTGCGTGAGACAAATGAAGCAGAAGGCGGCTGTGTGGAGGTGTGGGTCAGAAAAGAAGCTCGCACATGAAAATTATAGTTTCCAGCTCGGCTAATGAGAAAGTTGAGTGGATGAACCCTTATGTGAACTTGATTTCGACAACAAAAAAGGGCAGGAACCAGCCTGTCTGAGGACAATGTGTTTAAATGCACGAGGAGAATCGTTCTAAAAGATCTGACAAACATTAATCTGCATTGAATAAATACACGTTTGCAGCAGCACCAGCTAAATTACTTCTGCTTTTTGTGATTGGCAGGTGAAGTCGTATCTAAAAGCCTATTTAATCCATCTGAGGGATATTGAGGCAGAACCTGGGAAGTGGCTTGTTGAGGACTGGATTTACTTTTACATCTTTAATTTACAACGTTATGGAAAAGTGTGTTGCCTATGAATCCAGGCAATGGCTTTACACACTTACAATGACTGCACCCTTCTCTCAGGCAGAGATGTTCAACTACAGAGCAATTTAACATTGATTACTCATTGATTAGTAATTGCAATTTTTTTGTTTTATTGATTTACTTGGGTGGAAGCTGTAGAGCATCGAGCTGTTAAACGTGATGCACAATCAGTCTTAAATGCATCATTTATTGATTTTCTTTCTTATGGGTCTAAATTATAGGCCGTATATAAAGAACAACACTTCCTCCCTCTATCCAAAGATGAAATCAATATATTCTGTATACAAACGCTGCCATCTTGCCTATTAGTCAGCTGAGTGGTGCTCAGGACATCAAGATCCCAGTGATGTACACGTTTACCAATGAAGAGTCTGAGCTGTCAACATAAACACATTAACATACATCAATGTGATGAGAATTTAAATAACAGAAACCATTTACTTTTTAGTTTGGTCCGTGTCCCATCCTCTAACGTGGAGGAGGCAGAATTTATTACCTGTACTGCAGCCAGCCACCAGGTGGCAATCGAGACACCATGGCTTCACCTGTACTGAGTCAGTCATGTCATCCATCTTTAAAATCACCCGAGGATCTCACCCATTTTAAACATGTCTTTGTGTGACTGTTCATATCTGTGCATGTTCTAGATTATAAGAGAATTAGAACACACAGACACACCATCGTGTAAAACGCTCATCACAAACGAATCAATAAGCTTCATTACGTGGGTTCAAAGGTGAAAGGGATTAGCTGTCAGGAGGTGCAGGACTCTGTGCTCTGGTGAGATCTGTATCAAGGGTGAGACTTGTGCAAAATGATATGTAAAGTGCACTGCAGACATATGTACATGCATGATCTGTTTCCGAGGAAAGGGCTGGAAACTCCCTGAAGCGCAGCTGCGTTGCACTTAACAGAGTGCAGCCCGGACTTATTCATGATCAGTGCCGTCCCCTGCAGGAGAATGTGACTTTGAATTAATGAGTCACTCACTGAACAAAGGTCTGAGCTGATGTGAAATAGCGTTGGAGTCTAATCTCATCCAGCACATCTACATGTGTAGCTTTTGCTCAGACTCACATGGACCTTTTATTAGCATTGTGTTACAGTGTGTGAGCACATTTCCTCACGCGACTTCAAACATTTGTGGCTCTTTGACATGAAGTTCAGTTTGTGATGAAACAGATCTGATGAGAGAAACAGGAAAAGCTTGTATGAGATCCGAAGCAGAGACATTCAGACAGCTGACGTATGCCCCTCCTCTGTGTTGTTATTATTTTCCTCTTCGACTCTACTGGAGAAACTGAAACACTCTTAATCATCTTATAGGTTATCGACAATTTCAGATTTTTTTGGCCACTTGGGGGCAGTGAACACAAAGTGAAAACCATCTCAAACAAAGATGGACGACGTCACAGCTAAATCCTCAAAGTGAAGCCAAATCATCTGGTTTGCCCCCTGGTGGCTGGCTACAGGATAGATCATTGACCCCACCTCCTCCAAGTTAGTGAATGGGACATGGACCAAAAAATAAAAAATAAAACTCAGAGTACACATCAAGTAAATTGTTTGCTAAGAGACTTTCTGTCATTTTAGGTTGTTTGTTTTAATTAGTAATTAATGTTCTGCATGTACTTTTTTATTTGGCTTATTTTTTGTACAATAGAACAGAATGAAGTTAAAGACACATTGTTTTAACATCTATGCTGCAGACACATCATTTATAAATAAATCATTCTCTTGCAGTCACGTTTCTATATATATAGTATTTTAGTCAGTATTTAAATAAAATGTAATTTCTCAGAAATAAAGACTTATTATAGCTTTGAAATCAAAAAATTCCCTGCACCCAGATTCCAAATGATTAAATTCAGAAAACAGAGTAATACTAGAAATAAAGTTTGGATAAAAATACTATAAATAGATAATAGTCTGCTGCCCCCCCCCCCCCCTTTCCCTTCTGATGATAGTTTCTAACTTCTGATGAAAATAGCTGAGGCCCGAGGCCACGATGCATCATGTTCAGCTCACTATCTCTCACGTGTCGCAGGAAGTAAGAGGCAGGCACCACCTGCAACATTTCACATGCCTTCATGTAGCACGTCTTCCTCGAGGGGTCGTACGCCTTCTCCTTACCTGCAACACAAATGAAGATAATAGCTGCGGTGTCTGTCTGAATTGTTCGCCATCAATACCTCTTTGAAAAAGCAGAGATGTGGCCTTTCTGCTTTTTCCTGCGGGAGGAGGGGGACCTTCTGAGTGTGATATTGAAAAAGTCCCTCATGGCTGCTTTCGCCCTGCCAGGGGTGCTCATTCATACCAGATGGTTTTCACTGGTGGTGAAAAGGAAGCCCAACACAAAGACCGAGATGATTTCATTAAGATGCAGAACAGGGCTCCACATGTGTGGGCGGACGAGTGTAGGAGTTTCTATTTCGTTTTTTCTTTTCTTTTTCAGAAGTCATTTAGAGATGGAGAAGATGCAGAGAGGCAGCAGGGAGACGATCAGCAGATTGGGGTTGATTTTACCTTATCAATGCAAGTTCTGATCAAGATCAAATTTAAAAAAAATCACAACCAAGAGGAGTTTTTTTTAAGGCTAGTGCAGAACATCATTTCAAAAAAGTCAATACCAAGATGGAATTATTCATTTCAAACATGACTCACAACACAGAGCCATTATCCTCGTTATTTAAAAGGAACATCACACCCTTTATCACAAAATGTTATAACTCACCCACTCAATTTATCTTTTTTAATCTCAAAATCAACTTTCTCTTCACCTCCGAGCTCCAAATCTGTGTCGTAGTCCTCATCAGAGATCACACTCTCCTCTCCTCCCAGCTTCTCTTCCTCATCCTTGTCTTCCTCTTCACCCTCTCGTTCACCTCTGTCTTGATCATTACCATCGAGGCTCGAGGGTCCGTCCTCTGGCCCACGCACGTCGACCTCTGTCCAGCTCGCTCTCAGCTGGATGGAGGAATGAGAAATATCATGAGTCAGCAGCGTCGGCAGGCTGAGTGAGGAGACTGGATGGATTTGCTAAGTTAAACTGATGCCTACACTCAATGTGAATGAACCTCTGTCCTTATAGTCTCTCTCCTCCCACCTCCCTTTAACCTTTTGAACCTTCTCCTCATCTCTTCTCCTAACTTGAGGCACATTCATTATTTCCACACTGAACCATCAGTATTTATTAAATGTTGTCTCTGAACATTGTTGCACTCCTTCACCTGCCTAGTTGCTTTGCCAACTTGGCTGCTCGGTTGTCTTCCTACCTCCCCCAGCTGCAGCTTCTCACTTTCTGTTCCTGCGTCATCGTCTTCCAGCACAGAAGGCATCGCTGTCTCCTCGGCCAACTTCTTCTGAACCACAACTTTAACGCAACGCAACAGTGATATTAACACAAAGAAAGATAAATCTATTTTAAATCCTTTGTGTAAGAAATCACTTCCTCATTTTGGTCCGTTTTGGATCCAACCTGCTGGTGAGTCGTTCCTGCTGTGAGTGAAATCACTGCACTGCATTTGTCCAAGAGTACATGTTCATGCAACCTATCTTGCACAACAGGAGGGTCAAACTGTTTGGGCTAATTAGAAAGGCCACAGCCTCGCTGTCAGACGGCCAACCCACCAATCGGAATCCTTGAGCAGCTTGTTTTGTTGACAGGTTGCCGTGGCACTGAGAGACCATGACGACCAGCAGGCAGGAGGAACGAGGGTGAAGCGTGCGTCTTGTTTGCTCCAACTCTTGTTTATCAGGAAGAAGCAGCTCTTTATCAACATATAAATCTGACCTTCAAAATAGCCGAAAGGTCCCAGAATATTTATCTTATTTCTTTTACAAACAAGACAAAAAAAAGGCAAAGGAAGCAACTGTGTTGACATATTCTGTAAATGTTTCTCTTTATTTCGTAAGTAAATGAAAAGTCCTTGCAGTTGATGCATTAAAATGGAATACCCTCGATCAATTACACAACAAAGGTCATTATAGCAGAGGCTGATTGGATCAGAGTTGTTCATAGCAGCAGCAGCGATATGCAAACACAGAGAAAGAAATCCCGTCCAGAAAGTTTTTTTTTTTTTTAAGCATCCAAAGCCCTGTGGGAAAAGGCCAGACCTCACGATACAGTCTCACTGACTGACACAGTGCTGGTTAATAGACAGAGCTTTTTAAATATGAACAGGAGACAGAAGATCACCATGCATTTATTTAATGCTGCTGTTTTATCCCCATACCTAAAGGATATGAGAGACACCATATAGAATAGGCTTTTTTTTTGTTCTTTTTAAATCAAGCAGAATCATAGTGCTCATTTACATAATCAAAATACATTCTTAGAAAAGATCGAAGTGGTACTCTTTATATTTTATACTTTGTCTTTGAATATATATATATATATATATATATATAGAAGCTATATATATACGCTATATTATTGTATCAATTGTTTTCTTGTTGCACATTTTACATCACAGACATTTTCTCATTCCAATTGAAGGAAATCTGTTAAAAACAAATAAGACAGAGGAGACATTCATTCAGAGTGAACGACAGAGGGGACAATGGGAATCAAAAAAACAAACAAACATTTTCTCAGCAGCTGTTTGAGCTGTTTTGGAAATCACACTGAAATCCATGAATCATGATGACGGCTATCTTTGAACTGAATCAGAGAACAAGGGACGGAATAAATAAGACAGAGAAGATGACAAGAAAAGTCACAGGTTACTGTCGAGACGGTCGAAAAAATAATGTGGTCGCTGCACAGATATATTCAAATTGCAGCCCTGACTCATTGCTAAGCAGCAAATGACCCGAGCGGCCGCCTCTCGTCTTTGAATGAAAAAAAACTAAACCTCACAACAGGAGTGGACTGCTGAGATCAAAACGAAAAGCCATGTGGGCAGTTTCCTGATACCAAAACACCATCTGTAAGATTTCATTTTCAGACTCGCACAGCAACACACTCATGCTGGTTTCAAAATCTGACCAGTGTGACGAGTAAGCAGACCACAGAGCAGAATAACCATGTAAAAACACACACCTGAGCACATGCACGTTTCCACCCACTCGAATAGAGACACACACACACAGCGATTGATATGACACACACACACACAGACATACACACACGCATGCTGATGCTACTGAGCGGGTGTCAGGTCACAGTGAGAGAGAGGCATGAGACAAAAGAGAGTGAATGTGGTGCATGTAGGCAGAAGCAGAGAGTTAATGTAAGGCAAGAGGCAGAAGAGTCATGATGCCGACAAATGAAAGTTTTAAAATCCAGTGAGCACTGGACAAAGTTGACAGCTGCCACATGTGATCTGGGCAGCACGGTGTGCAGAAACACAACCTTTACTTTCCGGTAGGAAAAGAGGTTTGTTGCCCCGACAGTCTTTGTTTTTAAAGGAACAGTTTAGGAAATATTTGTCATTTTTGCTGAGAGGAAGGTGAGGATCAATACCACGACCATGTCCATGTGGTAAATGTGACGCTACAGCCTGCAGCTGGTTAGCTTAGCTTAGCATCAGAACAAAAGCTTCCTATAGCAGCACATCTAAAACATATGTATTCCATTATTTTTATTTTTTAGTTTAATCTGCACAGAACAACTAAATACGAAATTACAAGTTGCATTTTAGGGTTATTTTGTACGGGAGCTGCTTCCAGTCAAACAAAGCCTGACACATACAACTACAACATGGAACTTTGGTTTTTGTGCAACTTTTGCTCTGAACGCCCGCTAACCCACTGCTGGCTGTATCTTAACATCTACCTTATGGGATATGAGCGAGGTAAGCTATCGATTTCCTCATCAAGCACTCAGCAAGACTTTTATAATGTCAGTATAATATGTTGAATAAGTATCTATAATTAAATAAAACCTGAGAGCCCTAAAGAAGTGTTTTGGAGTTGATTAATAACACATAGTGAAACATGGTAGCTTTGATTTCTTGCTGCTGTGGTTGTGCAGGAACCCACTGGGACACACGGGATTATGATGTTACGAGAGAAAGGACAGGCCACCAATAAGAGAGCTGCCGCGGAGGCTGATGCATTCTAACTGGACTGCGGAGAAGAGCTGGATAACATGTTTGTTGTTTGGCCAAAGAGCTGATGTTTTAATCATTAGTTTTTTTGTTTGTCTGTTATTGTCCAACATTACACAAAAACCTCTGCATGGATTACCAGGAAACTTGGTGGGAGGGAGTGGTATCGGTCAGGGGATAACCTATTCCATCTTGGGGCAGATCCAGATGATCTCAATGGAAACAATCTGAAATAATATCTATGAGTATGTGAAATTTGGTGCAGCTCGACGGTTGAGCCTTGGTGAAAGTGTGCCCCCTCCTTAAGTTTCGTTTGTTAGTTAGGATTATGCAAAAACTACGGAACCAATTTCCATGAAATGTTCCGGATGGGCAGAACACGACTCAAGGAAGAACACATTACATTTTAAAGCACGTCCCGGAAAAACATACCAAGGAACATATCAAGGAATTTATTTTCACTTTCTTAAGCATTGCGAGATGCGGGTTTAGCCTTTGGCGGAGGTATGTGCTCTCCGGATGTTCTATTCATCATTTGCAGTGACTCCGGGTCCTTCATGATTCTACATTTTTCTGAAACTACAGCCTCTGATGTAAAAGAATAAACAGCACAACAGCCCAAATAACTTCGATCAGTCCTGGTTCTTGATGAATCAGTGAAATCAACTTCATAAATTTCTGTTTCTGTAATCGAAGCCACACATTCCCCCTTGCAAATATAAAACCTCGATAAAATCATTTTCACTGTAACAATAACACAGAGTATATTATATTTGTTTAGTATATTCTTGTCTTGGTCATGCATTCACAATGAGGCAGGTCATTACACTAGGTTCACACATTATGAAATCAAAAATGATCAATTTATAATTTTTGGAAGAATCATCGACAAGCAAAACAGATTCTCAGAGAACAGAACATTTCCAACTTGCTACAGACAAAATCGCAGAGCCCAACAGAAACATTAAAGTGGTATATAAAAAAAGAAAGAAAGAAAGAAAGAAAAACTTTTTTTACAGTACAAAAATTGGCACAGTATTCTTCAACCAGTGTTGCTGCATCCTCCAGACTGGTTGTTGTCGGAAAGCCCCCCCGATTCATAGACTTACAAGCAGAAAACCCTGAGAAGTAAAAAGACAGAAGGAGACACAGACAGACAGACAGACAGACAGACAGAGAGCAACAGAGACATAGAAATAGAGATGTTACAGTCATTACTCATCCAGCATGCAGGGGCTTTGATGGCCAAATGTGAAATTCAAGTGACAATCCACACAGGAACCATCGCCTGTGATGCATTATGTTGGTACTTAATGAGCCATAGTGGCTATGTAGGGCCCTTGTTTTGCTCTCATGGCAAGAGTATATGAAGTGTTTAATCTTGAAAATGCACAAATAACGACGGAAACAAAAACAGAAATGGAACAGAGCCACTCGCTCTCGCTCTAATCCTGTTAGTTTAAAGGCCCCTCTCTGCGGGTTTCTATGGTTACCCACTCTGTTTTCATCTGAAACTAAGGGGTGACAACACGCCGGCGTCACCAACAACTACAGGTTGCGGATTGGAGTCGGACCAGAGCCGCTCTGGTAATCTCGCCAGTTGGGATGAATCTCAGCGGGGGCAGGGCCAAAAGATTTCACTGTTTGTGAAATATGAGATAACCAGCTGGTAAGTGTGAGCGGTGAAGAAGGATCTACGATGAAAAGCTGAATAATGGTATCCTGCACAGTTCAGTGGTGTTGCAGCCGAGACAAGAAGTGAATGATCCTGGTTTTATGTGTAAACAATAGACATGATCATGCTTCCCAACGTCCACTGAAGGACAGAAGATGTGTGAATGAAGGGAGGGAGAAATGAATGTTCTGTGTTTTCTGGTTTCATTCAGTACATGTGGTGCTATTTAAAAAAAAAAATCATGAGTCATGACTCTAAATCTGTTAATTTATCTAAATGACTGAGAAATTAGCAAAAGGCTCATGTAGCGACGAAGAAGAACAAATTAGTGTCAGAGAAGATATATGATATTTGTGTTTCTTCCTTCTAGTGTGTTTGTAAAAGTTGGTAAGACGCTGGAAGAACTTGACCCATCACAACAGACTGGGTCAATGAGAGCAGGGGGAGAGTCTTAAAGAGACAGGAGCTAAAACCAAGTTGCAGACAGAGGCTGAACAGAGGAGCTTCAGCAACAGACAGTTTGAGGAAAGTGTTTTTCTGAACGTTAGCACATCTAAACCTTTTCAAGTTAAAACACAAATTTAAATGATGAACCTGAGCAGAATATGTCTCTTCTCATGTTTGACTCTCTAATGTGAGGAACATCTACTCTTTTCTGTGAGTGTCAGAGTCAAAGCTGCTTTCAGATTTGAAAGCAAGTGTGGAACTTTACATTAAACTGACTTAACCCTGCAAAGGCCGAAACAAACCGACATTAGCAAACACAACACAACCATCTCAACAATATGCTAACTGGTGAATTGGTGATTCCACAGCAGTTTTTCACTTCATTGAATATTTGTACATAAATCTTTTAATAGCATTAGTGCTCCATATGGTAAACATTGGAAATGAAAGAAATCAACTCACTCATCTGAGTCTTTTTTGCTCTCCTCAATGTAAGCGATGGACTCGGAACGAAGACGGTTGGTGACCTCATAGGTGCGCAGGGTGACACCAAAGATGTCCTCGTGGTAGCGATTCTCATCCTGGTAACAGAGAGATGAGGGAAGAAAAACATCTTTTAAATTAAAGGTTTTTTTATTATCTTGTGCCGCATCAGTAATTTAATCAGTAATCAATAACACAAAGTGACATTTTGGAACAGGATGTCATTTGTCCAGTGCTCCGCAGCAGCAACCAGGCACCTTCATGACTCCTCCCTCTGAATGAGGTCTTAGCTTCTTGGCTATTAGCGCACTCACCACAATACATCACAATAATCTGTGTCCAAATGCAGTCATGTGAGATGCAACAGGTGTATAATAACAACTCAAGACCTATTTCTAATGTCTTTCACCTTTCATTCATGTTTTTCATCCTGGATTCAAACTAGCACCCCTCTCTTTCCTGATTTTCCGCTCTCTCTCTTACCCGAAGCTTGCTGATGAAGAAGCCGGCGTCCTCCAGGCTCATGTTGCCCTGCTGCCTGATGATTTGCTGGATGGTCTTGAGAACATCTCCGGCCATCGTAACATCACCGCACACGTAGATGTGTCCTCCCTCCTCCCTCAGGCACTGGTACACCGTCTCTGACAGCTGCTCGCGCAGTACATCCTGTACGTATTTCTGACAGAGAGGCAGAGGAGGAGACACGAGTGTGAGTACAGTAGAAAAAGAAACAGGCAGGTAGGAAGCTAAGTACTAGGAAGTAGCCGCTCAAACCGCTTTGACCAGGGAATAATTACGTACTAGTACAAAAATGTATGCGTCTCTCACAACCAAAGAACACATCACAAGATCAAAAGGAACATAGACATTAAGGTTATGGTACTTAAAAAAAACACAAACGATAAAAATGTTACCTGAATAATAGTTAGAAGTCGTGAAATGGAAGGAGTGTAGTCCAGAATATAACCACTGATTTATTTCAAACCCACACAGCTGTACAAAGAGAGTTGTGACAAGCTGACTCATCTGTGGTAATGGACAGTTTGGTGTCTGTACCTTTGGTTTGCCGGGTTCTCTGGAATAGGCCGCGTACAGCTCCTTGAAAACCTCTTTGTTCTTGGCCTGGACCGTCTCCTCCTTGTAGATGTGGTCCATCTCTGACTGCCGACAACCGAACACCAGGATCATGGGGCACGATTCAATCCCTGAAGGATGACAGGCAGAGTTAATTTAAGATGTAGATATAATGGTCTACTCTGGCAGGGATTTGATCTTTTCTTATTCATCAGTGGTGTGAATAAGTGAAATCAGCCTGTTCTAGATAATAACATAATCGGCCGTCAAATTCTGTCTGCCGGTTCCTGTGTTTCTTTGAAAATCCACTGCAAATGTGAATTAGTGATAAAAATCTCAAAGTAATGAGGTAACGAAGTCACTTTAAAAGAACCAACCATTGTGTTCAAGGTTGTACAGTCTTTGTTGCCAGAAGCTCCTGAACGGGGCGATACCTGTTCCTGGACCCACCAGGATACAAGGTGCCTGGTTGTCTTTGGGAAGTTGGAAAGATGGTGCACTGAAAAGAACAACAGAAGACAGCAAACACAAAAAATTTTGGTTTTGTTTGTTTTGGGAAACATCTTCATTTGCATTCCTGCGAAGAGTTAGAGGAGGACGTTAGCACCACCTTCATGTCTCTATGCCTAATTTGAATCTGCTGTTAGCCTGGGTCTGTGCAAAGCTAACAATATCTGCTCATTCGCACCTCTAAAGCTCACTGACTGACTCTTATCTCCTTTTGTTTGGTGTAAAAACAAGTGCCGGACTTTTTCTTGACCTGGACCAGTTGCCTAGCAACCGGTGAAGGCTGGACTACAACATCCCAAAGCAAAAGTTGTGTCTCGATTCAGGGGCCGCCGTTCTTTGGAGGCTGTATTTGAAGACTGATTGCATCACAGCGGGGCGGCTAGACCGTTCTCGTTGTGTTCGACTGGAGCTCTGTTGCTAGGCGACAGCAGGAAGGGCAGGACAAGTTATGCAAATCACCAAAAAATGTTACCTGTGGAAAGAGCCTGGAAAGCTCCTCCCCCTCTTTCCAGTTTTCATGCTAAGCTAAGTTAGCCACTGACTAGTGGTAGCTCCATATTTTGCAAACATACACATGTTTAGTATCCAGCTTCTTGTCCAACTCTCGGCAAGACAGAGAATTAGATCATGTCCCTAAATGTCAAACATTCAACACTGATTCATGTAAGATAATTTAAAAAAAAACATGATACTTACCCTCGGACAAAACACGGCACCATCTCCCCCTTCTCTATCCTGTTGAGCCACGATGAACACACTCCATGGTGGATGGGTCCCTCTCCATCTAAAAGGGACAATTAACTAAATCAACACATCACCTTTTGTCCTCCCCTCTGCCTCCCACTCTCTTTAAGTGGACAAACTGACACAGGAAGCACGTGTGACCCAAACATGTTTTCCAAGGCTCTGGCAATTTTATAACCCGCTCTCTCTAAAAGGAAAATTACAGTAATTCAGCTTTTACAATCATAGGAACATGTTTGCCGAAGTATACATTACGTGTGTGAGAGAAAATAATAGTGAGCAGAGGAGAGAGTGCGTGTTAATTGCAAAGGTGGCGACATAAGGACCTTGCAATATACTAAAGTAGTAAAATTGACACCTGAATAGTTAATGCAGTGTCACACAGATTAGTGTAGCTACACCGTTTCCTCTAAATTTGTGTTTATATCTCTAAATAGAATCTGTGTCTGAGATACTGAATCTTCCCGAGGTGTTTCTAAATCTAAACTCCTTGTAATTGCAGTCGTGGTCCAGCTGCTCGATAAAGCAGACTGGATTTCCAAGATAACTTCCAATCTATTTCCTTTGAGCCATCACTGGATGAGGCTGAGTCATTTGACTTTTTCCAGTCTTTGCAGCAACCTTGAAAAGATCCACAGAATCGGGTCTTTTATCCGTGACATAAACTCACCCACAGCAAAATATATAGATAAACAGAAGGTGCACTTTTTGCCATTAATAACCAGCTTAATACTGTTCTGTGGGAACTGCAGGGTGTGATTAAGTTTTTAATTTTCCTGAAATGTCAAGAACATCATCATATGAAATGCCAGAAGTAAAGGGACCAATGTCAGACCCTCAAAAGCCTAATAAGAGACAGAAAAGACCGAAACACCCGCAGCCTCGCCAGTTTTAAAATCCTCCGAGGGAAGCGTGGCTACTGCTCAGCTTGATTAGAACAGTACTGTGGGTGAGGAAGAGCCTCGAATGAGCAGTACCAGGTCCGTACCTCTGGCGCGATAAGAGACCACAGCGACGGTGAGGTGGATCTCTCCTGGGTGCAGCTCTGGAGAGGAGCTGATGGAGTAGTAGCGAGGCTGCAGCAGCGGCAGCTGGGTGAGCAGCAGAGTGGACGGCATCTGGATAGAGGGGAACTCTTCCAGCACCTCTACCAGAGTCGGATTGTTGTACCACTTCCACTCCTCATACTCCTGCAAGCCCTGGGATGTTGGTGTGGGGGGGGGTGGGGGGAGAGAAAAGGAGAAGCAGATATTTATCGGTGAGTTGTTCTATTTTTCTTCTCCTAATAAAGAAAGCAAAGTAACTGCCGCAGCAAGGGGAGAGCACGGAGGAGGGTTTCCTCTTTTAGATCTGTAAACATTTCTGACTCAAGAGCAGGAGGCCGCCACAGGCAGAGCCATTCACTGTTCACTGTCCAACTGTTTTTAGTTTGTCATCACTGACATTTGGATGTGATGAATTTAGAGAACTGCCACCAGGCTTTGAAAAATCTTTGTTCTCAAGCTGCTAATTAGTGACGGTGCCCATTGAGACGCCCAGTGTGGACTCAGTGTGTCTGAAGGACTCAACAATTAGAACTACTTTGGGACTTGTTTTTTTAACCTATATAAATTCAAGAGTTCAGTCTGATATAATTAGATCTTTGAGATCTCTAACAGACAATGCAATAGTTTAAATCATTTCTGAAATATTGTTTTTGTGTTTTTGAACAGAGAACTCAATAATAAAACTACCTGACTCTTTTCTCTGACGTTTGTCGTTACGCTCATATGAATCTAATGACATAAGAACAGGATGAGAAAAATCTGAGAAACTCTGTGTTAGTCCTGAAATGATCTAAGCACATGCAAAAATAAAAATGATCCGCGGTGCTGCACTATTTCCTTTTCTGAATTCAGAAGTCTTGCATCGTTTCCTCTCGGTTTGGTGACAATGATTCGATGTATGAGCATATGAGTCACAGCCTGGCCTCAGCCAGCCTTTCTCCACACAAAAATGGAGAGTGAATTGTGGGAGGCACTGCAAGGGGGGGATGGCTCTGGGTAAGAAAGATCAACGGCTTTAATTTAGCGCCAGCTCACTCCTACTGTATGTATTTCCATCAGCGCAAGGTGCATCCAACCAGCTCCCAGTCGCAGGAAAGCATCTTCCAGATTCTGATAGCAAACATGTTGAGTGTGTTGTGCCTTAAACACATGGTGACTTTTATAGAGTCTCATAATAAAAAGTAAAAAAAAAATGTCTGCACATGTTTGGCTTTCAATTGGAAAAAAAAGCGGGTGTATTTTTGGATTAAACCTCCGCACACACTGTACATCACAAATCCCTCATGTGTCTGGAACCAAACGACGAGCCCAGTGCAGCAGCTCAATACTCCTAAAGGTCAGTGATAACAATAAGGCTGAAAAAAAGTGAATCTACCTTGCTGAGGACCTCCAGTTTCTTCTTCTGTTTGTCGTTGGTTGCCAGAGCAGCGAACTGCTGCAGCAGCACAGGGCTCGGTGGGGTGGTGATGTCCAGGAAGTACTGGAAGGCGTGGTAGATGGTGCAGGGAGGGATACGAGTCTCGTTGGTCCAGTTGCTGATTACACCTGCAGAATAAAGCTGCATTAATTCAAACTTTATATAAATCATATACACAAGATTCTCAGTCATCCAGGCAACGGTGCCCTGAGAAGTTTCACCTCTTATCCATATTTAGTTTTAATTGACTAGTGGGAGGTTTCAGGTATTTAACCTCCCATATTAAGAGGAAATACATTTATAAACCCAGTGTTTGCAACCTGCTCAGCACCGACTGCAGACAGAGGATTGTATCCTGACTGAAGCAAAACTTGCTGTTTGTCTGTTGAATGTGTAAATTATTTTACAACATGTTTTCCACAACAACGCCACATGAATTGTTATGTTCAAACTGCACCTGCTACATTAGCTCACAGCCCGTTTTGCCAAATTTACAACGTGCACGCTGTGTTTTGGATCACGAGAGTGTTTTCTCTCCTGTTCACACCAAACTAATCCAAACAAACTCTATACTCGTCACCCATGCATGAGCATGCGAGAGCTACTGCTTGTAAACAGTGAGTGAAAATCACTTTTGGGACCCGGGCCTGTGAATCACGAGGAGAGGCTGCGAGGGCCCAGTATGAGCCGTTTCATTTTGTGTTGAAAGACAGCAAGAAAAAAAAAAAAAGAACAGCCATGTTTAAGATTAATTTTATTTGAGGACACTGTGTTAGAGACACATCTTGCTTCACAGTCACGGTGAAAATCACACTTGTGTTGCATAGTGTCACCTCAACTGCCAACATGCGTCTTCACTGAACGATTTCTGGGCTAGGATACCTCAACATGGTGCGACTTCATGGTGCCTGTCGAGGCGAGAGGGACTGTTTCTTGTTCGTGTTTGGATTTTAACCTCCTGCTGCAATTTTGAACCGCAGCACTCTCTGTAGCGTGACGTTTGCTAATGGCATCACTCACCTAGAGCCGTGTTCCTCTCATCCAGGAACTCCACTTTGATAATTTGATTGACAGGCGGAGCGTCCTCCAGTTTGTCGATGAGAGCGGTAACCAGGTCCTCATGGTTGCCAGGGAAGATGCCCAGATGGTCGCCGGGATGGTAGCTCAGGCTGTCGTGGTTGTTTGTGTGGAGCCGCACAAATATGGTGGAGCGACTGCAAAAGAGATCAGAGGTACAGGGAACTGCGTTTTCATGTCTGTTCCGTAAAGCAAAGTCAACAAAATGAAGCCACAGGATCATTTCAACATGATTTAGAATAATTTATATCGTGTTTCCTGTTTGCGTTAACACTCACTTGGATTTCTGACTTTGTAGGTTTTCAGATTCCAGCATCTTTGCTCCATAAACCTTCTTCTTGTGAATGCTGTGCAAAGCTGTTGGCAGACAGGAACAAAATGGCATCACATACATGACATTTACATTATGTCTGGTGGATGGATTATCTTGGCAGCAATATGGATTTGAGAGAAATAAGCCTTTTGTTTGAAGTGAGGAAATCTTACATCTTATACTTTTATTCATGGAAAAATGGGAGCGAAACAAAACCCTGGTTCGGTACAGGATAGACAACAGAGCCCCAGACCTCCAGGTGATGTAATGGAGGAGCCACTGGTTTTGATCAATAAGCCCAACATCCCTCTTCACATATATTACGGCCATTTTGTTCTGCAGCTCTAATTAGCTCTTATTGCCCCTTTAATATCAATGCATCATCAACAGTTCATTACTCGGTTCCCACAGGATCATCATTTACCATCTGTGAGCGCCGGGGCCTCGGCCGTGTACGTCATGCGGAACTTGCTCTTCTTCCAGCTGCGGTCGTTGCTGATCAAGGAGTCGTTGGCCTTTTCGATGTTCACGTCATCGCCGACGCAGAACACGTCACAGGCGGCCTGGACATGTAACGACACGACCACGGACAGAGAACACGTATATTAGTCCTTCACACCTGAAACAGCAGCTGCGTATCAGACAGGAAGTTAAATGTTTGGATTCATTTAGAAGCACAAGAGGAATTTCTGATTTTATTTATGTTGCTGTGGGTTTACAGAAAATAAACCAGTATGATGGAGAAAATGAACTAATCCTAGCCCACAGGGTCTTTGCCCAAGAAACCGACCTTAAAAACCTTCTTGGCCCAGGTTCTGAACGACTCCTCCTGACCACACAGCTCGTCTCCTTCTCCCATGCGTAGGATGCGTTCCCCCCCCAGCTCCTCAAACAGCGTGTCCACAGCGTGGGCAAAGGCGCAGAAGTGTGGGTAGGCCCTGGAGCCAAGGCCAAACACTGAGAACCTAAACACACACAAGAAGAAGACAGAGATAGACAGGCAGGTGGTGTTTAAAAAGAAAAACACACACGTTCGCAAACTGCCGCCGCTGAGCCCACTTTAGAAACTTGCCCTTTCCTTCGTTGTCAGAAAGTTGAAAACAGCTGACGATTTATGAATGCCTGGTTTTTATAGATGTAAACATGAAGGAGAGCGCTCTTTTGAGAACAGACGAGTCATCCTCCTGCTGCTGCTTCGCTGTGAAACAGTCGGCCCACATCACATTCAAGTCTGAGTCTCCTCTTCTTTAACAGATCAGCAAACTGTCCAGTGCAATAAGGTTTATCATCGCAGGCGCTCTGTCAGAGAGTCTGAGCGAGGATGAAGTTCACTGAATACAACGTAGATGTTGTCAAACACGTCGGCACGTTGTCAAAACTACACTTTTAATACCTTTCATATCACAGAGGAAATTAAGAATTATAGAAAGAATAAAATCTAAAAGCACTAATTAACTTTCCTTGCTTGTGTCTGCAGTGACTAGTCTACAACTAGAGTAGCATTTTTTTTTATCTGCACCAAATCGCACACATTCATAAATATTAATCCCCAAAATATGTCTGAAATATGTCTTCCCTGAGTTCCTCCCTGACCCATAAAACATCATTTCACCACGAGTCTTTACTCAGTGCTTCTAGCTAACAGACAAACAGACACCTTGGCAGAGGTGAATACAAATTCAGTTTAAAACAGGTTCTAACTTGATTCCCATTTCTTGGGACTTGTCCTGTAATTTGTCCTCATTTCACCTGCAGGTCACAAGATGGTTGTTGCCTGTGAGCAACATTTTTTAGACAAGTGGAAACAAAAGTTCTCATGACTATTTGATTTGATGTGGTTTTGTTTACCTGACATTAGCCAGAGGCCCGGTGCTCTCAAAGTTGATTCTAGTCTCTGGCTCATCACTGGAGGACTTGCGTGTGTCAGAGTACGAGGAGACGCTGTTGAAACGGACCTTGTAGCTCCTGGAGAAAACACATGAGACCAGCGGTTGTGGAACGGAGAGAGAATAAACAACAAACAGACAAGAATATAAACACAGGCTGAGGGACTGAACTCACTTCCTGTCTTCTGTGTTGGACGTTGGGTGACGCATCTCCATTAAGGCAGCTCCAAATTTCTAAAGCAACAAAAGAACAAGTGTTGGAAATCCATGCATCTGTCCTGTGCTCAATCAATACACATGTTAACAACAACAACATAGACAAACACACCTCTCCATTTTCTGGTGGGTCACCGTTGCCGAATGTGCTGGTCACTACTAACACCAGCGTCTCGTGCTCAAGGTCGACCACATCATACTCATCCATCGACGTGACCTGCGGGAAGAAAAGAGCACGACGCAGAGTGAATCTCATCCTCCACTTCCACGGCGCAGTGTTTATCTCGCTCTCACCTCCGAGACTCATTCCACACGACAGACGACTGGAGCATGTAAATCAGGGCTGAACACACAGCCGATGGCAGAGGAGGAGGTCGTAATGACCACTCTGTCCTCGCCTCTAACAAGATGATAATGTGCTGCTGCCACACAATGAGCATCCATGATGCATACCACTCAACAAGATGGTGTTTGTCTGCCACGGGGCTGCACTCGCGCTTCACACGCACACACGACCGAAGGCGTGAAGGAGGAAAACAGGCTTTAGCCCCACGACAACAAAGATTCTCCCCCCCCGGGCACTCGCATCTGCCCTGAGATCCATCTACGCACACCCACTCTCGGTGACACACATCCACACACTTGCATGCATGAATCTCTTCTCTGTGGGGGAAAATAAGATATGACCTGGAGGAAAAGCACAACAGTGTATGATAGGAGAGCAGCATGTTTTGCTTTGCTGCGGGATCTTAAACTACTGCACCGCTCAACGCTTCGGTGGTTAAATCTCGCCTCAGACCCGCAGCTCTTTACCTCACGAGAGGAGATGTGAGAAAAGACACACTTTCTCCTTCCACCCTCTCATCGCATGTGCTCAGCTGGCATCTGCGTGGCTTCCTCAGCTGGACTGCAGGAGGTGGGGTAGTGGTGGTGGAGGTGTTGGTGGGGGGGTGTATAGGTAGGCTATAGGAATGAAGTCTTTGAATTCCCCCTTTTTTCAATTACATGTTCTTACAGTGGCAGCTCTCGGCCAGCTTTCCGATATGAGGTGATGCAAAGCGGGAGCAAGCTTACCTTTGCGTCAAACGCGTGCTTGAAGATTTCACACAGAGTTTTGGCGTAATCTTGCGATTTGCCCGTCTCTGTTGCAAACAGGATGGTGGCTTTCACTCGCTTGGCCATGGCCTGGCCCATGAGCTTGGCCGAAAACTTCACAGCCCTGCAGACGTGGAAAGACAAGGAGGGAAACCGTAAAAGATACAGGACGAGTAAATGCATCATTCAAGGACTAAACGGTTTTGACACATCCGGTAAAATGTTTGTTATCGCGCCACTGAAAGGAACAATGTGTGTTATTGTGGTTCTCTTCACCGTGCAGCCAACATAAGGGAAGCAGATGGGTGACAATTGTGATTACCTAGTTTGTCATCTCCTCCTGGCAATTATATAAATAGACAAACACACATGCAAACAGAGGCAAAACCCTGACAAAGCTCTGATTACTCTCCGAGGGGTTGATTGGATGAAGTTCGCCAGCTTCCCTCCCATGTGTTGAACTTTTGTCAGGGGAGTGACTATTTGTTTGGCCCTAAATTATCTCACACATCCTACAGCACATTATCTTTGACATTTACGACAGAAGATACCAAATCACCGAACAAATCAGAAGACCTGTGTGTGTGTTCACACTCACTTGGCGAGCTTCTTGAATCCAATGGCTCTTTTCTTTGTGGGTGTCCCGTTGACACCTTTCCACACATGGGTATTCCACGGATCAGCCTGATAAAGAAAACAGGGTTCAGATGTTTTCTTTGCTTAGGTTTAAAATCCATTTCAATACACGGAGATATCGTCTGTGTCTCCCAGTGTTTACTTGGTAGAATGGAGCCTAAATTCGCTATTTGCACAATTTCTTTTAACGTGCCTCCTCTTCCTCTTTCCGGTAATGATTTCCAACTTTAATTCCCCTTAATGACTTCCATTATTTAGCTGAGCAGCCAAGTAATTTGTAAACATAAGTGCATGTCTATATTTGTGGTGATGCCCTCTACCAAACACACAACACCTGGTGAATTGCATTATGGTCCAGTGGAGCTGATTCCAGCGCAGACAGTTCTACCTCTGCAGCTCTGTGGTGAATTCATTCAGAGGGAAAAGGTACATAAGCTAATAATCCTACACCGTCAGTACTCAGGAATTTTAATTGTATAGCTCATGCTGGTTCCTGGTCTGTTCTCTGAGTGATATACTATATAAAGAAAGGCTCCATCTGTTCTCAAGCGTTCTATCATTTCAGCTTAATGACAGGTGAAACGCTCAGGGCCGTTCCAGAAGAATGCACAAACCAGGTTTTTTCCTGGGGCCCCGAGAAATGCAGATGACGTTAGTCCCCTGTAATCTACAACTCCAGATTCTCAGCTGAAGGTAAAGGGGACAGAGCGAACACCCTGACAAGGAAATATATAGATTCCTTTGAATCAAAGTTATCGCTTTACTGATATATATTTATGTGTGTGCACAGTATGCATTTCATTTATGATTTTGAATCGAGGGGGTATATGCTTCCATGACAGGCCCCCTACAGCCCCCTTCGCCCAAGGCCCCCAAAGTTTCTTGTAACTCTCCTGGTAGTAAATGCAGTCGCCCTCATAACAGTCGAATGATCGTCTCACCTGGTACTCGAAGGAGGGGGTGAGGCGGTAGTTGAGCATTTCTTGGTGGAAGACTGGTGTGATGCTTCCTGACATGGGAGGCACGATCCACACCCAGTCGCCGGGACAACCACCTCGCACCCGGTACTCGTTCTCCATGTGCTTCATGAAGGACTCGGTCGCTGAGTGATGGTCCACTATGGTCACTTTGCACGACTAAAATGAAAAGCAGCAGAAATGATTAGTTATCATGACAAAATATCTGTTTTGATGTAGTTTTTACTTTTACCCAGATGATATGAAGCTAAAGGTGAACGCACCTGGAAGCTGTAGAGAACAGCAATGTTGATCTCCACCAGCGCCTGGTCTTTCCACAGAGAGGAAGTCTTCCTGGTGTCTAAGGCCATTTTGTCAGCAACCTCCTGTTTGAGATGCAAAGAAAATTTAGTGCGACCAACGGACAACATGGGCATTCTGAGCTTTGTGACGACAAGGTCAATCTTTCAGTGTGTGTCATGTCCTTTTGTTTTAAAACTTTATTCATATAGTTTACAATTTTAACCTTAAATCAAGTGTGAGGTTTATGTAAGTTCAACTTGTTCAGCAGACGCTGCAGCAGTAGCCTCCGTCCTGAAACTCAAAATAAGTTATTTCTAAATGTTCGTCAACATCTGGGACAAAATATCATTAAAGTAACAATGTCTTCAATCTTTTATCCTCAATTACTAAAATTAAGTGTTTCATATTTTCTTATTCTTCTGATGGAAGAATAATCCTCGTGTCTGAAGTGGACAAACTGGACAAACCTTTTCTTTATCTCGGGCGTTAGGGTGAGAAACTGTCTCTACAGGGATGTCTCTTAATATGAAACAGCAGATTGTCTCATGTGCCAAATGTTATCCTCTTAAAGATTCTGTTACAGATCAGCTCACAAAAAACAGAAGAGTAACTCACATATTTTGGAGCAACATCCTTCTGTGTAATTTTTGTCAACAGCGTTTGCAACAGAGCACACAGACGCTTTAGTTCTTGACAATCGCTGCTAATCAGCTTTCTCCTCATTGTGCACAATACGAATGTACCCTGATTGGGTCATTTGGTAACACAGCACATGCTCCGCTCAGCTCAAGGCTCAATCTCCGCCTCCGATTTTTCTTTTCCCTCTTTCTGACGGATCATGACTCTGGATTCTGGCACAGCACTCTACCTCCAGAATGTTGTAGCGTGAGCTGTCACAGAAATCCCTCACGCCAATCTCTGTGCCCATGTACCACCCACTGAAGGGGCAGCCAGTGAACTCCAGGCCGCCGATCTCCAGCAGCATGTTGGAGACTGCCGGGAGGCCGTACCACTTCAGGTCCAAGTCTTTGAACCACTCGTACCTGAGCAGAAAAATGGTCCATGTTGAAATTGGTCTGGTTAATGTCCAACACTTGCAATATGCACAGCACAGGTACTCACCCCCGGGACATGAATCATAAGAAGTGCAGCCAAAACACACATTAACACAAAAAAAACCCCTCCCCACTCTTTACAGCGTTTCATTGCTGGACAGCAGGCGGCACCTCAGTCTGCCTCACGCCGCTCACTCCTCACATCCTCTAGGGGAACTGTTGACATTGCTTTCAGTGTATTATTTGCAGAGCTGGATCTAATCTCGTGTAATGATGAGATGCTCGTAGTGATCGCGGCCCGTGCCAAGCTGCTGCCAGAGCTTAGGGCCAGCTGATGCAGGGTATGGAGCAAAGAGATGCCAGTTTTTGGGGGGAGTATGGCAGAGAGATCAGTGTGTCAAGGGACTCTGAAATGCTCTCAATGCAGCGTGTAGTGACGCAGTGATATCTCTGTGTGCATCTGTGTCTGCATGTCTGAAAGCAAGTCTAGCCATAATACCCAATTCTTTATAGTGATTATGGGTATTAGACACAGCAGCTTAATGCTTCCACTCTCAAGGGCGTAACAGCTTTTAGACAGAAGCTGCTTCTGAGAGAAGTTTTCTTAAACATAAAATCACTCGGATACAAAAGGAGGAAGCTTGAAAACACACTAACAAGTCCCATGCTTACCACTAAACTGGCATAGGAACAGATAAAGCATGGCTAGCTCGTATTAATCAGCACAGTTGGAAAGTGGGTATAACGCAATCAGATCTCTCGCTAAAAGGTATCCCATTGTTTAAGAAGGGTTGTTCAGAGATGTACGAGTGGGCGGATGTCTTTTTGTTCAGTCCCCTCTGTTCTTTGTTTCTGCAGAATTCTTTATATCTTAAGCTCAGGAGGGAAACCATAGCTCACTTTGGGTGTGTAATCGGCACCTCCAGGATGAGGTCTTCAGGGATCTCGAACAGCTCAGGGTCATTTCCATTGGCTTGCAGCAGGAGGGGAAGGACGTCGAAACGGCCCTTAGGAGCTTTCCACCCCAGCTGCATGCAGATCTAAAGACCGAGAGCAAACATCTGAGCTGAGTACAAACAGGGTGTGTCTTCTTCCTGTGTTACGTTTTGTTGCTCCTCTGGTGTACCTCGGTAAATTCAACGTTAGCAGGGTCTCCCACGATGTGTCCATCAGGCAGTTTATAGCCTGCATAACGAATCAGCTGACTGTTCCACACCCGAAAGTCGTGTTTGCAATCTGTCCTCGGAGGAAATATAGTGATGGCTGACCTGCAAGAAAAAATACAAAAAAGCATGAGATTTTTTAATTTATCTAGCTTTGTTACATTGCACCGTCATATCTCGAAAAAACGTTGAGATAAGTGTTAGATAAACTGTCCCGCAGTGTTATCCAAGGTTAACACCATGCTCATAAAGTATATATGGATTGTTAAGTAAGATAATCACCAGATGGCTGGAATTGTGCACGTAATCCATAACATAAGCTATTTAACTATGTAATGTCAAAGGCCTAAGCTTCGCTACCTTTGGCCGATTCTACATCTCGGTGGTGTTTTAATGCCATGACCGGGGAAAAGTGTTAATGCTGCTAAGCTGTAAGTCGCTGAGGGGTTAGTGCAGCTGGTGAATCTGGGCCAGTTGTGCCTGCAGCCAACATCTGTAGGAAACAGTTTCTCAGCTTGGCTCGCAGGCCGGTGTTAATGGAGAAGGCAGTTATCATCGTCTCCATGGTCGGACTTAACGTCCAACAAATGACAATGTCCATTTTAATTTGTCGTCTTAAAGGAAACTTTTAATGTAACTGTTGGTTATGACGTGCTTTTCCAAAAAGAAGTAGCAGATGACTTAGGTTACATCACATTATCATGTTAACAATCTTTAATGATAATTAATATGTTTAATTCATGATGTAATAACGGTAACATAAGTTATTTAACTATATTGGATATCATCATTATGAAATTGTAGGATCCATTTTAAACAACATGATTTAGAAAGTAATAAAACACATCATATATGAATATTAATTAATTTATTATTTAAGACAAATAATAGTTACTTTAGTTTATAACTCTAACTCTAATTATTACTTAATATGTGCAATCACATTCCCACATGTAAAAGCTTATATTGTTACTACGTTCAAATATTGCACCGTTTATAAAAGGAGATATATTAGAGAAATTAAATAAACCTGCAACCATAGGCTTTTTCACAACCTGGGTATTTATAAATTATCAATTAGAATGAGATACAACATTTAAACCATTTTTAAAGAGTATTAATATATTATCACACTTCTTAACATCCTTGCAAACGTTTACATTATCCTTCACCACTTGCATCACATCTCTGTAATACTGTATTTAGGTGATTTTACATAAGCAAAAAAAAATTCCCAAACTTTTGCAAGATATTGCAATTACACGACTTGCTGTGTCTGTGTTTATTTATGTCAGAGCGAGCCTCAGCCAGGATTTTTGTGCAGGCTCTTATCAACATCTGTATACGAGCTGTCCCTCCGAAGGCCAGAGCCAGCGTAGTAATGAGTCAGACGCTATCCATCATCCCAGAAGTAAATATGAGACGTCACATGTGATTAGGACTTGGCAGAACGTAAGCGAGAGCTGTGCAGGTCTGACAAATGACTGCTTGTTAGCAAGGTCTGCCGCCGCGGCGACAGGGCAGAGATTGGTGCCGAGACGCTGACAGATAGACGGGGAGCAGATAGTGTCAGATATAGCGTTAAGAGACAGGGCGCACACTGACAGATGGGACAGTGGGTCAAGTCAGGGTAGTCAGAGACGGAGAGGGGTGATGAGATACATGGAGGGACAGATGGGAAGAGCACTGAGCGGAGGACGAGGAGGAGGAAGAACAGACCGAGTTGAACAAAACGAAAGAAAAGACGATAAAAGGACACAATGCATCGTTGTTTTTTTACCTCAGGTTGCCTTTGTTGGTGGCATACTTGATGTGGTTACAGATGTAGTTGTACATTCCGTGAGCTGTTGTGCAGTCTCGAGCATCGAAGACCTGGAAAGCAAATATCAGTTGTATGAACTGTATAAGAATCAGATATTGTTTTTCTTTTTCATTTCCTTTTCTTTTAAATGTTATTTCAACATGTTCTTATGTTACTTAAACTCTGTTCTCTTATTGTTTCTTTTTTTTAACAAACATATCTTTATTTGAATCTGTATTGTATGCAGAGGAATTTGAGCTGATTTATTTTATGAAAGGTGCCAAACAAATAAAGCTTATTTATAATAATTATAATAGTGGTAACCATATTAAACGTCCATTTGTAGCAGCATGGAAACAGCCCTAAACTATAAAGACAGTAATACTGTACCTGTAGTTTGGACCACTGAATCCTCCCGACACACCGGGCAGCGTTCCTCCACGCATGCTTGGCTCCATAGATCAGTTCAGTGTCTTTTAGCTGGTATGTTCCCGAAGCGTCAATTTCCTTGGTGACCTCCTCCAGCCTGTCCACATGGGCCTTAGAGCCATACCTGTGAACCAGGACAGGTGAGTAAGAGAAGAACATAAACCTACGTATAAGTTAGAAATGATGTCGGCACATTGAGGACAAATGTACAAAATAAAGAAAGAAAACAAAAATAATGATAACAAAAAAAAATAATTATCTAATTGATGTAGATCTGCACACCTTTTTATGGCTGATAATAACAGTAGCTATTAACACAGAGTATGTACAGGTTAGGAACAGCTGCTGCAGGCCGTGCTTGCCTTTTGATGGAGGTGTAGTACTGATCGATGAAGTCCGTGGCCAGCGGAAGAAGCTCCTCCTTGGATCGGACCTCGTCTGGTTTGCGGGCGTGCTGGTTGGGTATCATCACGGAGCCGATGCACACGTTCTCAGTGCAGATTGGCATCTGAAAAGACAAATAAGACGACAGATGAGGGGGGATTTTTCGGGGATGAGTTCCCGTTTGATGGTTTTTCTGCAGCGCCGAGATACGACCCAAGAGCCAGGTGACGTTGGCGCACGATTCCCTGGTAGCACGTCTGCAAATATCCACAAAATCTGCTTCCCAGCATAAGTAACACTAACTGAATCCTACCGTCTGATTAAATACGCACAAGAAAGAGTCGTTTTAATTCACAAAAAGGCAGAATATCACATTACCCTGTCTCTCTATTCATTTAAAGTTAATTGGCTCTGCTTGATTTTAAACAGACACAGGAAATTCTGGATTCACTCTTTATTAGATTGAAAGAGAAACAAAAGCTTTTTCCAAATCACATTTGTTTCTTGCTCATCTTTTAACTTCAGTAAACCGTAATCAGCTGGAACTTTCCCTTGGGGAGAAGGAGTGCTGACATGCCTGCTGTGAAAAAGGTCTATATTTTTGCTAAAAAGCCAAAATAAAAACCAATTTAAACGCTGCTCCGGAGCCATTAAAGATGAATTTCTTAATGGATAAACATCATTTTCCCAGGATACAACAGGCAAAAGTGAAATAAACTATGAAAGAAACTGTTCAGTTATCAAGTTCCAACAACACATTGGCAGAAAAGTTCACCTGCACAGAAACATTTTCAAGTTTGTCAACTCTCTGAACTACAAATTACAATTTCTTTCATGATTTCGCTCACACATGGCTGGCCCGAATATTTAGTGAATGAGTAAGTGAGTGAGTCATGGATTGGTATCCTTCAGGAAGCGAAAGGAGCGAGGAGGGAGAAAACGCAAAGAGAAAATTGCTCATAGCTGGGAGCAACCTTGTGTGGTCACTTTAATATGATTAGAGTTGAAGTCAGCTGTCACGTTGGCTCGCTGTAAATGCCTTCACCAGCTCAGATTCGACGAGTGAGCGAGAGCCGGCGACAGCAACGATAGCGGAGGCGTGCAGTCCAAGAGGAAATTTGACAATGACCCCAACGCTGCTAAAATTGGCTCGTTACATTGAACCGCCCACTTGCGTTGTCCAAATACACGCCGTGAACCGGCAGTCCGTCCAAAATAAACTTCCCTTTGTGTGTCCTGGTCAACAATCCCAACCCCCGCAGAAAAAAAACAGCTGGTGAACATCATAATCAAAGCAAAGGAAAACGTGCACAAGATAACATGAAAGATAAAGACGTGATTGAAAGTGAAAATAAGAAGAGAAGAGCGACAGAGATGAGACAGAAAAAACAAGAGGTGACGGAGTAAAAAGGGGGGAAATGGATGAGAAGAGTGTTAAAAATAAAACAAAGGAATCACTCGTGCTCCAGCACTTCCGCTCATCACACTGCTCCGGGCATTCATGCCATCCAGCTGTCCTTTTCGAAAAGACGGATCAGCCTCCAATATAGCAGCGTCTGTGATATATAATAAATCTGAAGATGCTATTACAGGCCATTCATTGGGATGCACACAACAGCCTGTCCGATAAGTCACCAGAGTAATTAGGCTGCTGTTTGCCGTTCACGAATGGCTGCGGTGTTTTCGGGGGTGAATGCTTAAACAGTGGAGCTCACCTTGCTCGGTAGACTGGCTTACTAACTAGAGGAAGAAACTTTGGCTGCATAATAAACTGGGAGAGCGATGGATGGACGGAGGAGCTGATGGATGAATGAGGAGGATCACAGAAACGTTTTCTTTGCAAAGCGTTTGCTTCTGCGTGAGGAGTTTTGAAATCTAAATGCCCTCATGTTTAATGTTTAGTCAAAGTCTCTTGTCCAAAGAACAAACTCCACAGAGTCCACATATCGAGGCAGTCAAGGTGGATTGTGGGTCAAGATCGGATTTTTCAGTCATCATTGGTTTCTTTCAACCACGGCCACGACAACCGTAACAACTGAGTTTACGAACCTAAACTAAGACAAATAGAACAGAAGCTACAGTTTTTCGTAGATTGATTCCGGGTCTACTCTTGTACATGATTTAAACACGGTGTTTACATGCAGTGACAAACATCTGTGTCACATGCAAAACAGTGAAAAATATGTCACGCATGGAGAAACACATGTTCCCACGCATTCCCCATCCAGATGGAGGGCATGAGCAGAATAACCCACCCAGGAAGTGTTTTCTTTTGACTGGTTTATAAAAAGGTTTAAACTAATCTTGTTGAAGATGCAATCACTGAATGCATCATCACTGAGCTAAGAATACGACAAAGATATCCACCACACAAGCCCCCATTTCAATTTCCAGGAGCATTTCTTTCTTCTCTTTTTTCAGTTTTCTTTACCTAGACTTCCCTCACACCCTTTTTTTTTCACATTCTGGCTGAACACCAATGAGCTGTATCCCCAACAGTTCAGACACGAGCTCTCTGATGTATGAAGAGACAGTGAGAAACAGAAAAGACACGCTGTGCCATTATTCTTCAATCTACTTGACTTGTAAATGATGTGTTGGTGAGTCTGCAGGCTAAATGTTTGCTCAGTCAACTGTATCCGCTGCTCATCGGTGCCTTTAAGATACTGTTAGATGCACAGATATCTGTCCCCATCGTGGGCGGACCCCTTCTCTACGAAAGCTTTACATGTCACTGCGGAGACTTGTTCGAATGTGTCATCACGTTAGCTTGAGAATCATGTAAGACCAATAAAAGCAATCTAGCGTCACGTTTACTCCGTTTTATTTTTTCTTTCCTGATTCTAGTTTAATCACAAAATGCATTCTCTTTTTATCGAGTGCAAATTAGGTAAATAAAATATTCAAAACACCTTTTAATTTAAAGCACAGACTCAAGATGTTGTGAAATCATTATTTTAAAATAAGATTTTGAGAAACGATTGACCATTCAAATAGATTTAATTCATTATACTAAATCTCCTTGTGTTTTTTGATGTTGGTTACAAAGTTGTGTTCAAGAAAATCTCATTTTCATAGTGAAAATAATCGTAGAGTTTGTTTAGTAACGAGCTCAGGGTTCCATCATTACACAGTTTGTGCTTCAGGTGTTCATGTTTTTACCAGTGTCAGGGCACAAGGACACAAGAGAACTTCACAGCCTTCATTTAGATTCAACACGGGTCCAGGAACTCAGGCTATAACAGAATCGCTTAAATCAAGTCCTTGCCAGGACAACAGATGTACATGCTGCAGCAGACGGCTTTGTTCAGTCTTGAGTAACTTTTCGTTTGCTCTACCTTGCTGGAGCTGTGGTGGAGAACGTCGCTGTAGACGGTGCCGGTCTCCCAGTTCTTGATCTTTAAGAATCGGGGGCATTTGGAGGGACTGCCATTCTGCAGGGTCTTAGTCGGTGAGGCGCTGCCCTGTTCCGGGGGCTGGAAAGAACACACAAACATACAGTATACGCATGAAACATTTCTTAATGCATTATATCTGCCTTGTGCATTCTGACCTCAAAGAGACATTTGGTGCAATCTGGGTAAGATGTTAATGACTCAGAGTCATACTGAGATAAGCTGAAAAGTGGTTCAGGCCTCCCATCATGGTTAGAGAATCTGAGTGCATCTGTTGGACATTGATTGGTTAAAGAAGCGAATATCATGGATAATATCTGGAGGCATTCTAACAGGATTCTTAGACTCACGGTCACAAAATTCATTTTCTCCTGCTCGAACATTTCTGTTTATTTCCCGCACCAGGATAAACGCAATCAGCCTTTAACAGCAGGTGAATGACAAGCTAACTCCTGGCTCACTGGGTTTTTCCAATATTGTAGCGGTTCACTGATGAATGCAAGCAATTTAACCCCAAAAGGTGCGCGTGTTCCTATAGAAACAAGTGATTTCCAAAGAGCAATCATCTGAAACCTCGGAAGTAACGACAGAGGAGAGCAGCTTCTGAATAACAGAGACATAATCGTCATGCCTTCCAGGAGGATGAATACCAACATTGTCACACAGGTTGATTCTCATTGTCATTTCGTGGCCTCTCGGAACAGCAGAGAGAAATTAGGAGATTTGAATCGAATTTGACTTTGCACACAGTGAGAGTGTGTTCGTGCTCAAACTTCAATAATCTCAGATATGACACACTGTCACCGCCGAGGTTGGAGACAGGAGATAAAGATCATTGTACCGGAAAGTGACTCTCAGCTGAACAGACAAAGACAGTAAGATGCAGAGGATTTTAAGGCCTGTCGGCGTCAAGAGAAGCGGAGCAGTTGTGTGTTCTTTGAATATTCAGCTTGTGGTTCACTGACCGGAAGCTATAGCTTTGGCATTTACGTTTAAGAAAGTAATTTCTATTAAGGCTACATGCAGGTTTCAAAGCAACTTATTTATATCAACAACCTGTAAATGTCAGTTTATGTCTTTTGTATTTAGCCTATGTGCTGTTTGTTTAAATGTCGTGTCATGATGGAGGAACATTTTTTTGCCCCTCTCGAATGTCAGCTAATAAACGACAACTTAAATTAGCCAAATTACATTGCAGGTAAAAAATTATGGGCACAAGAGTCAGTGAGATAAAGGACGGCAATTGTGTGTCAATTAACCAAAACTCTAAACGAAAGTTTAGCGTTACAGTTCGTGGACGGAGTTTCCCAGAAGATTAATTTGTCACGTTTGGTTGTGATTAACAGTGAGACCATGAGCGATGAATAACTAAGTCAACAAAGTAGCTCTTCCTAAGAGGCCTCCTCGAAAACGCAAATTGTAAGGTACTAGTTTAGATTTTCCAAAACCAAAAAAGAACAACGGCAGAAGTAAATGAGAAACATTTGCTAACTTATTAAATTCGTGGAGTAACATGTGATGTAAAAAGAAATCGAAAAAAATCCACAACACATCCTTGGTTGGTTGGCTCTGAATATTCCCTCAGTAACATATCACTAAAGAAATTGTATAAATCCCATCATGCGCCAATCACAAGGCCTCAGTGTCAATAAGGTGTAGATGTGACAGATGGGAGCAGCCACGGAGCTACACATTAAGATAATTGAAGCTAATCTGATAACAGATAATTATACTGTGGAGTGTAATCACCACAGTCTCTCTGGTAAATGCAGTTAAGCAGTCAAAGTTTCCCCATTTACCCATAAATTAAAACTCCTCATGAGAAAAAGGAGATGATGTGTGCAAGACAGGGGGTGGATGGGAGGAAAGAAACTCGCGACAGAGATGGAAATACACGTTAGCTGCTAAGTATTCATATATGCTTTAGTCGTGTTTTTTAAGAGAGGTTAATTTATGGTTTAACAATTGATTCAGTGATGATTAATGTCAAATAAGGAGGCCCAGAGGCATATTCTCTGCTTTTAATGGTTCATCAAAAGGTTTTCAGAAGTAACTCACTGGTGGTGTTTGACAGAACATTCTGCCACCTTTCTAACAGGCTTATTAAACATTAAATTATGCAGGAGCAGAAGCTCAAGCTGGAGGCACAAGGACAATCCTTCACCAGGGTGAGGAAACTAATTTGCAGGCCGTTGATGTGTCACTTTAAATCCTTTAACGCTAGAAAAATTAGTCTGAATTTTTTGAAACAATTTAACACGTGCTTTTGTATAAATTTAATTGAGTCTATCGAATTTACACTAAGCGATGATGCATCAACGTCATCGATGTCGAGCCAAATGCGGGCAGGGGAACTTCCTGCTGCATGAGTCAGTACATATACGTATACTGGACACATACATGCACTTATCTCAAACACACCTTCTCTGAGCACCTTCCACCAGGAAAAGACACAAGGCTTCTTACCATATCACACACACATGTCCGCTCCACCTATCCCTCCTCCCCCTTCTTTGCCAGCACACTCTCAAACACATATTTGCACAAGCACGCACATTAACACTCTCTTCTCTGCACATCTGAGGGGCTGGATCATTTCAAGAGGGGCCACATTTGACAACGAGAGATGGATCGGCAGCTGCATGCATTCATTAGACCTCCTGGAATCGTTTCGCCCCATCCGGTCCCATTGACGGGGACTGGAGCGACGTCACGAATGCGGACCATGTGCAGATTACGACACTCAGACCTGTGACCAGGCCCTTCTGTGTAGAAGCCATAAGCTGGATTTAATGCTGCACCAGCTCGCCACCGGAAGGATTTAATGCCAAGGTGATGGGATCTTAAGCAAAGGCTTTATTACTTTGTGCAAAGAAGCAACATGGGTGTGCGTGCTCAGTTTCTGAATGCATGGAATGGGCCAATAGCGTGGATTAATGTGAGAGCCAGACAGGCAACAGCAGTCATGGATGCACATGCATTACACGGCTAGAGATTCACCGAGCAAACGCCTGCATCACAAAACACACAGAAAACGAAAGGGCAACAGATCTTTGAGTTACACATCGAGCACAATCTCTTTCTTTAACATGATATTTCCTCATTTGCATTTGTTTCAGTTTACCTTGTCAGTGTTGTTGAACACCACCGGCGTGTTTTCCAGCATCCTGTCGTTATCTGACGCCAGCTGGGGAGATGTGCCATTTCCCACGCCAAGGTCCCTAGAAGTCAGAAACAGATTTCTGTCAGGTGTGTGAGCCTGCACCTGGGGCGACTCTCGTCTTTCACGTCCCACTTTAATATCCCGGCCAAACCATGCGTACATGCACACTAATGCAAAGAGACAAAGATAGATCGTGAACAAGCCTCAGTTCTTCATCATTTGCAAACTAATAAATCCCTGCACAGCTTCACTCGTGGCTCTGTGTGCCCACATAGGTGTATTTTCTGTGCTGGACTCAGCAGGTGGGTGGACGGAGCTCAGCTGTCATCTCCTGTGTTAAATTATCAGCACCTGTTGCAGAGGCACAACTTTCTCCTATGTGGGTCAGCTCCAGCAATTTCTCACCACAGCTTTGCTCCACCTTTTTGAAAAGGAAGTTTGAACCTATGCACATTTAAATGAAGCTCATGTCAGTGTGGCTGCGGCTCAGGGGGGAGAGTGGATCACCTTCTAACCAGAAGGTTGGTTGTTTGAAGCCAGTCTTCCCCATTCTTTGGTCTCTAAGCCTAGAAAAGCACTCCTTGGAATTTTTTGGAGTTCACAACCATTTGTCTTGTTTGTTGTGTATTTGCATATTTTGAAGATATTTTCTTGGGCGTTTTCTTTGATTTCCTTTCCGACACGCGGCACAAGCGTCCGAGGCCTCAAGCCGCCATATGTGGAGCTAAGACTATGGGAGTTGGAAGGTTTTTGTAATTTTATAATGCATCTGAGGAAAATATTGATATTCCAAAGGCATTCATCGATTCCCTGTGTCATTAAGTCTCTGTATTTCCTTGCCTGCTAGCTTGCAAAGTTTTTAGCCTCTGTGACCTGTAGGCAGCAACGTTAATATTAGCGTCAATGTTACCTGGCAGCCGTGTTCTCACAACTTCCCACGTCGTAACCGTGAGCTCACGAGTTCCCCAAATGAGAAAATACGTTATTGCAAAAGCCATATTGATAGTTTGTGATGCTTAGATTCTCCGATTGCAGGCCCACAGATTTCGATCTGACTTATTTTTCCGCTTAAGTCTCATTTATCAATCTAAAAAAAGGACATAGATAAAAAGCAGAGGTCTCACTCGGACCTGTAACTGTACCATCTTGTGAGACTGAAGGGGGGGAGGGGGCATCCCTGCGCTGCCGATGTGGCAAATCACATGAGACACGCATTAACTCATCGGCGTGTGATTTCAAGTTTGCATTTATCCAATAGATACGCCCACGCACACACACATCGCCTTCTACTGCCTTTCACACTACCCCCCCCTTGCAAACACTCATGCACACATATTCGTGGTGAGCACGTGTCGATGCCAATCGTAAATCCTTACATCCCTCCTCCCTTTCACACTTCCTGTCACACTCCATCTCTTCATTACCACAGTTTGTAAAAGCATATTCGTCCCCACAAATCACAGGTGGAGTTCAAATGTGCAGAAGTTGTTTCGTTTGTCATCAGCCTCGGTTATAATCTATTCCAGTCAAATTGTCATCAAGAAATAATTTGGTGGGGTTTTTTTGCACAAATGTATCCGTGGGGAAAAAATACAGACATCATCAGATATTCGCTTCACGCTGACAGAATAGAAAATAAAGTTAACTGACTTCTTCCTGCTGCATTTATTAGGATTATCCACCAGTTTAAAACCCCATTTCTCTGCAAGCAGGTGGGCGTATTAAGAAAAGTTATTTGAGCCAGACTTCACTGTTCCTACTTTTTTAATCTCAGCACATGCATCATTAGAAAGCAGTGAATCACTCAGTGTCCTTATGAAAGAGAGGAGGATGTGCCGGACTGGTCAAGAATGAGATATCGATTCAGAGAGAGTGGAGCCTCAATTTGATTTCAATCGGTCGTGGGAGCACAACGGCAGATAACCGAGACGCCAATATCAACAGTACACTGCGTTTAGACAGAGATGGAGCACTGGCTCAGACTGAGCGGCCTAATGAAGAACTTCTCCACAGCGAACATTTAAAACTGATTGAAATCAAGATTACTTTGAATCAAAACTCAAGGGGATGTGTTAAATATAAATAATAACACACCAACATCTTCAGAAACAAGTCGGACTGTTAAGAAGAAGATTTGTTCTTTGTTAAAAGTGAATAACGGACAGTCTGGAGTCAAGTTTGCAGTTGGATCTAATATGTCACCATTAAATGGTCATGACGTCATGAGGGACCGGCGTGCAGACACTAATGACACGGCTCAGAGTACTTACTTGCACAATGAGTCATATTAGATGAATGAGAGGCTGAATGAGAGTCTGTAGCAAGAAGTGCAACACAGCTGGGTGCTGGAGTTTAGGGACGGTGGCAAAGTCGCAATCAGAGAACCAGGCAACAGCCACCTTCTTGAAGAGTCCTTTGCTCTAATTGTTACCAGAAACAAGCATGGAGACACTCTGGCTAAGGGATCAATAAAGTAGTATCACATCACAAATTACCAGGCCACTTGAATCTCGGCGTCCCTTCTCCCTGCATTCCTCTGGCCCTCTCCATTGATCTCCTTTTTGCTGTTCTTGATGAGCCGCAACACCGGTTCGATCTCCTTCAGCAGCTCGTTGTTCTCCTCCAGCCCGTTGCACAAGAGAGCCCCGCGGCCCCCGTCCCTCATCAGCAGGGGGTCCTGGGCCTGTATGCCTCCCCTCTGCAGGAAGGACTGGGTGATGGACGGCGAGGACAGGTTCTCTATGGCCCTGAGCTGGGGCTCCTTGTTGACCTGCTGCTGCTGCCCGGGGCTGAACGGACTGAGAGGGGAGCAGTGCTCGTAGGACTTCGAGGCCGGGAAGGCCGGGCGCGTCACCCTCACTGTGCGCTGGCGGCCGTCTCCACACAGGGTGGTCTCCAGGTGGGTGGTGAAGCCCTCAGGCCCCCGGAGGATGAGCACGGCGTGGCTCTCGGGCGACACATTCTTCAGCGTCTCCAGGGCCCGCTCGTAGGAGATGTCCACCAGGGGCTTGTTGTTGACGGCCAGGACGATGTCGCCCACCTGCACCAGGCCGCACTCCTCCGCTGCGCCACCGCGGATGAGATCTGACACGATGACAGGTGGCTTGGACACCCTCTGCTTCACCAGGAAACCCAGACCGCCAACCTTCCTTTTGAAAAGACGCACTGAGATGATGTTGGGCTGCAGCTGGCACACCGTCGGCTCAGACTCCTGCATGTTGCCGGTGTGAGATCGTTGGCGTGCGTGTGCTTCTTTGTGAGTGTACGTGCGTTCTCAAGGATGTTTCTGAAAAGCAACAGAGAGAGAAACAGGAAGGGAAACAGAAGTTCTATTAGTTTCAGGGGCAATTACTTTGTCTGCATGATTTCCAGTGTCCAAGACGGTTTGTAAGTCATTAAAGCAGAGTGTTTTCACAAGGTAATATCACACAGATCATTAAGTCCTGTTGAGCTACAGAAGCAAGAATAACCCCATGGACATAAAAAATCTATTATCCGACTAATCAGACAAACGTGTACCTGTGTGATTCTCAACATTTTCATTCCGGTGGCTTGAACTGTGTCAGTGCGTCTGTTTCAAAGGCAAATGTTGGCTTAGCTTCATGAAACGAGGAGACTAACGCAACTGACGGGTTCTTGTCTGATCTTCTAGTCAACCACAGTTCAGGGGTGAATGTCGCACTTTTAAATCAGCTGAATTGAATTAACATCAATGAGGTTATTATTTTCGGTTTTGTTGGTTTTGTCAGTTTCTTGGATTTGGTGCAGATGCAAAAACAGGTCTAGTGAATTTAAATGTGGACTGTTGGGCCTTGATAGATGCACAGTATGAGCTTGACTGACACTTATAGCTTAAAATTTCCAACATTATAAACTCAGGTTCAACTCATTTAACTTCTCATATCGGTCTGTGCAATTCAATGACTTGAATCCATTTCATTCTGCTCACAGTGTGTATATCCTGTGCAGATTGTATATATTATTCATATTGTATTTCTATATCTTACTTATTATTACTTCTACTGATGCCTGCTTTCACTGTTTACCTCTTGTGGGTCTAATAATTATTTCAATCCTATCTTTTCTTTTCCGATATAATTTTTAGTTAAAATGTTAAGTAATGACAGTGACCCAGTAATACAGACTAATGCCATTGACACAATATGTTCTCTGTTCTGAATATGTTACCTTTTAAACAAAGTATTTTAACATGACCGGATTGGTAAGAGAAGGACAAGGAAAATATTGGGTTTTGTTTTCCTCCATTTGCAGCCAATTCTGGTTGGAATGGAGATTCTGCTCGTGCAAATCTTCAGCTTCACATATGTTGCGTGTGTCATGGAGCTGACACTGTGTAATTTGAAATTCCTTTCGTCACTTCACAGCCTCTTCAACCTCTACCTGCAAATACATGTTTACATGCGCCTTTGCATGACTGAACTTTTGAGGAAAAACAAAACAAGGCCGATCCCTCCGCTCCTTAGGTCCTGTTATTTCACTCTGTGCACCATTGTCTCTGCACTTGAAATGAACTTCAGGAACAGAAAGACGCTCTCCTCCCACGTCTCTCAGATGCTGCACCTATGCCTTTTTACTACATTTGATGCAAAGCAACAATAAGTGTGTGAGTTGTTATCTAAAAATCTCTGCATCTGGCAGCGTGGGTGGTCTACGCACCATGTTAAAAAAGAAAAAGAGTGAAGCAGCACCGTGCGCGTGCTCGCAGTCAGTATAGGACAAGCACACGCTTTATAACGGGGGAGAATTCACCACCAAGGTCAGCGCTCTGCCTTTACAGCAGCACTTTCACTCTTCCGTTTGTTTCTGCTCCTTTTCAACAGTTCAGTGGGGGTTTGTTAACACAGACAGAAAACAGAGAGAGGGTCCTTGAACACTTTTGAAACTGACTTATTCAAGAGAACAGTCTGAGTGAGACTACATGAGATGTAAAAGGTTTTTTTTTTTAATCTCGCAGGCATATGATAGTTTGCATAAGAGTGAGTCAGGTCAGTCGGACTGAACTGAGCTGCCCTGGAGCACAGGAATCACTTAAACACGCCTTTTAATCCTCACTCTCTGTAGCTGCACCATAGTTAAGACTATAACGGATGTGAATATTGATGAGAATATTTAACTTGGAGATTTGTATTCTTTTAGAATACTGCATTTAAGGTTTGGGTCAAATGAGTCGCTTTAATATTTTTATGAATTTCAACTACGATCCAGCAGCTACAGCAGACATAGATTAATCCTTATGACTCATTATGGATTTATACATTAACAAATGATCTGTTATTCAATAATGTCAGAGTTATTAACTTCAAAATATATCTTGTCTAAAGTGGCCCCCCATTTGTTAGGGGCTACCCGGGGGCCAGGTTGTATTATTCCAACTGGCAGGTCGTCATATCTCAAGAATAATCTGTGTAACCTGCACTTCATTTCAATTTAAATCCACAGTGTATAAACGGTTTGGAGGAGATTATGGGGGAGAAGCAGCATTTTTTTGGATTAAGTGACAGGTTGCTTTGGTCGTGCAGTACATGACCAGGAATCTTTACATATGTCTGGTTTCATAATCATCATCATCATCATCATCATCATGCAACAGCAACAAAACAAAGCCAGTTGGAGGTCAGGTTTAACATCACCACCGCCAGAAATCAATGAATAACTATGAATAACTTCCTTCTGCAAGTAGGAACGCAAAAACATCTTTTCTGGGATTTTGGTTTTGTCAAGACAAGTTCACACACAACAGATAAGCAGCTGCAGCATTACGCCTTGCTGCTGAGACACATGCAGTTACCCAATGATCAGAAAACAAGATATATTCAGATCAAAATGCAAAAAGAAAAAACACAGTGACACTGTTCAAATTTTATTTCTGACCAAGTCTACTCATAAAGAAGAGTTAAGATTTAACAAAACATGCAGGGATGATTAGAACGTGAAGCCCAGTTTGCTCCTCTCTCCTCTCTGGCATCAGTGCAGTCGGCATAAAACGCACAAGATGTTCCCATCGCTGATGAAATGAATGGATTTCTCCCAGAGCAACAAGTTCTGGAGACACTTTCTCTGGGAACAATTGCAATGAAAACAACATCATCAGCGAGGCCACAGGTTCACTTCAGGGATGCTCCATCCATCCTTCCATCCATCCTTCCTCTGTAGCAGCTCTTCTCCTCATCCACCAGCGGAATGCGCAGCTCGATTTCCCCGAAGAAACAAGAAGAAAACAACTAAGATGAAGAGGAACTCACCCCTGAGAAGCAGGTCGCTGTCTCCACGACCTGCTGCCGTGAACTTGGGATAAAACTCCTGCGCTCCCGCGTCTCCTTTCTCCTCGGCGGCTGCGGCTGCACAGCTCTCTCTCTCTCTCTCTCTTTCTCTCTCTCTCTCTCTCTCTCTCTATCTATCTCTCTCATCCACAGAGGGAGGAAAACCAAAAACGTCTCCAATCGCAGCGACGCGCTCTGCCTCTCTGGAGACGAGGCACGCTTGTGCCGTTGCGCGCACCGGGGAGCCTTATAAATACAGAGCAACGGGAGAGCCACTGTGACGAGCTGGGGGT